TAATTTTTACAATTAAAATTAGGGCTTCTACTCCAAAATAAGGAATTCGGCCAGCCAGGAGGAAAGCAGATTTTTCGGTGCAAAAATCTGAAAATTTACTTTTGGCTCCACTCAGCAAAAAGATGTCGAAGTTGGTGCACCATCTGACTTAATTCTCTATTCTACTTAGACGTTCAAATGTAAACAAATAGCGCCACTTTTAAACTGTTGATAATTCTATACCTATTGTATGCAGATTAACGCAAGACATAAAAAATCTCTATCTATATATATATACAATTGTATATATAATTTAAAAGTAGGAGAGACCCAACTCATTAGTAAGACATGAATTCCGCCAAGCAATGTAATACATGATAAACAGCAATGTAAAAAACTAAGAATCTAAGACAATTATCTAAAGCAGAAATTAAAAATTAAGAAAGTAAATTTGCAATGATTAATCTCCCTTGTTTGGAGTTTGAAAACAGAACTTATCAGATGAAAATTACTTGGTGGAATTCATGTCTTCTTACTGATGAGTTGGATTTCTCCTACTTCTAAACTACTAATTTAAATTTAGCAGCATTTTGCTTTAAATTCTTCCTTTTTAGTATAAATGTTTCTTACTAGTTAACTACTTCGTTTCTCATTGTATATATAATTGTATATTGTATAACAATTGTATATATATATATATACAATTCAATTAGGAAAAAAAAAGAGTTCTTTATTCTGCTCATACGTATTGATGTCACGCAAAAACATTGTATGATACCCAAAATTTTTGGCGACTTCCTTTACTTCGATACAAGAAAGTAAAAAAAGTTGCTTTCAAACTCGATTTCGAGGCGTCTATGAACGCTTTGACAACTGTTTCTTAAAAATACTACGTTGATAAAGTTTAATTTCAACTAAGAAGACTACGTCATATACAAAACCATTATTTTGGGAAAATAAACTTTTAGAATTAATTCTTGAGGACTAAATTGAATGAAAGATTTCTATGGGATTCTTCCTTTTTAATCTTAATGCCAATATCTCAGTCTGGCTTTCAGAAAATTAATATACTCGCGTAAGATCATTTAAACTCGAACTGACTGTAGGTAGTGCATGTCATTGTCAAGAACGTCATATTGATCTCTGACATGAAATAATAGCGTCAATGGAGAGTTTTGTTATAAAACTACCAGTTTAGTTTGGTTTATTTGATTACGGCAAAGTAGTCGAGAGCTATTTGCCTGAGGGGAGGAATGCTTTCGTAGAGGATGTTTTCTAAACGAAACTTTCCCCGTGTGTAATGCATATACGATGGTTCGTATACGCATTACACACGGGGAAAACCACAAAACGCTCATGCAGTGAGCCCGTTTGCGGAATTCGAACCTCGGAACGAGCTATCAGTGTTCGGTGACCGCTCTACCGCTGGTGGGTTGGTGAAAAAGTCTGTCTTTAAAATCAGTACCGCGAAATATATAAAATGCAGAAAAATTTTCTGTTACAAGAACAATGTTGAGCACTGGTATATAATAATTTAAATTTGTTTTCTTCAAAATTTTATCTGCTAACGGAGAAAAAGTTAAATGGAATGTCGGGGTTGATTTTGTGCAGCCAATGTATATTTTTAAGTAAATATTAAAAATATGCAATGAAATTTTCTTTTTACACTGTAGTTTTGAGCAGTTTTGGTTTATAGCAGAGAAATATGGAACTGTTCTTAATTTTCTTACTATGCAGTTACTTAATACTTCGCACGTGAACACTGATTTCTATTCTCTGAAGTGAAATCTCACCTTAAGTGCACAATTTTGACAACAAGCATTGAAGCAGTTTGCTGCATAAGCATGCCAAGAGGCTTTGCCAAAAATATAGGAACCGGCAGACAGCATTAAAAATTAGATTTCGTTGTTTGTCAAAGATTATTATTATTATTATTATTATTTTTAATTTGGCATTGCCAACACATGAATATTTTCGTCACTTAAACACTTCTGTAACTGGAAGTATAAGACTACAACCAACGATTGAGAAAATAAAGGCCGGGTAAGGACTTTTAACCCGAGTAATACATACATACATATATATATATATATATATATACCCACTCACCCCTTATATATATATATATATATATATATATATATATATATATATATATATATATATGTGTGGTGTGTGTGTGTGTAGAGAGAGAAAGAGGGAGATAGATACACTTTTGTTACTGACGATTGCAGTAAAAAAAGAAGTGTATAACTAGATGTTATATCAATTTCATATACAAAATTTCAATTTCTACGACTAATAGTTTATGAATGATGCGAGATTTAATACGTACGTACCTATGTACAGATTTCACAAAAACGTCCATTCTGAATCCTTTTTTTGGGGGGCGGGGAATTCCATTCCACGTTTTGGAAAAAAGAATCCTTTATTTTATCCTTACGAAAAAAATAGTTAAAATTGTTCCGAAAACAGTCAAAATAGATATTTCCTTTGAAATATTATAACTGAATTTTTTCACGAATACAATACTTCCTTTACTTCGTACAAGGAATTAAAAATGAATGAAGAGCCGTCATACTACAGTGCTAAAAAATAGTTACGTAATAAACAAGATACTGTCTAACGATCCATAGTTTTTTCTAATCTTTGACTTCTATGTGGCTTAAGAAGTTTAATTGTTAAATTGATTTTTACTCCTCAAGGCTAGTTTCTATTATTTGGAAAATGTAGAGAAACCATGTATATGTAAGAGTCCATATTAAGTTTCTAATATCGAGCAAATAATGTTATTGTTTCAAATGCCTTCTTGCAACTTAATGCATTTACTGGGATTGGCCAATATTCATCGGTCATTTAATTGTCATCATCGAGAACCTGCACCACGAGCGGCGACCGATTCTACAGGGTAAAGCTGACCAAGACAGGGAAAAGCTGAGTCTGAATTTTGACGCAGAACATCCGGAAAACGGATCCTGTGGTCTCCTATCTTTCTTCCTATCCATCAAACCTTCTGAGAGGAAGTTCTCAGATCACTTAACAGGTTACGTGGCAGGCGCAAGGACATAGTCCAATCCTGTGTGTAATGCTGTGATAAGTTGATAGCAGTTATGACTCCATTTCAAAGGTGGAAATTCAGAGTATTCTCTAAGCAGAGAAAACACTAGGTCAAGTCGGAAAATTCTGACAAGTTGGGAAAGATGTTGAAAGCCAGTCGCAGAACCGCTATAGAAACCAGGTAGAAAGAGCTGTGAAGGCGTAGTACTGACATCAGGAGTAGAAAGTTTATAATAGGCTGAAAGTATGGAGTTAACAAATAATAGCTCTAGACTGGCGGGAGGGCGAAATAATTGGGCTAATTTTAGAGCCATGTTTAATTTAGTATAAAATAATAAATAATTAAACCGAACGATAAAGAAAAATAAGGAGAAGAAGGAAATTAATAACAGTGAGCACTAAGTAAAAGACTTAAATTGTCACTGACTATAGAAGCAGTTAATTAATTTAGGTAGCAAAAATATGAAATTCACACAAAAACATTAGTCTAAGAAAGAGCACTGCTCAAGGTCTTTTTTTTATTTACAATATCATGGAGGTTATAATTCAGTTGTGGGATACTTTCATTATTCACACTTTCAGTGTTTCTGAAAATTATTTTTGCAAATTTTCCATGAATTTAATTATGCTTTTACTTTTATATTCGTCGGAGATTGCATGTTTTTTTAATAAACCACCTGCTGGTTGTTATTTGCCTCTGTGTTGTGCTTTGTAGTACTTGCAGTTTATCAAGCTTAGTTTTACTTGCGTAACCCCATACAGGATAAGCATAAGTGACTGTGGGTAGCAGCGTGGCATTATACACGAGTAATTTATTATCTACAGATAAAAATAAGTTCTGGGAACTTACGGGATATAATTTAGTTTCAGTAACCCGGAACTTGGAAGTAATTTGTGTTATTTAGGGGTTCCACATAAGTCTATTCCAAAATAAAGCCTAGGTATTTAACCTGCTTTGCCCAGGGGACGGCAATATTATACAGTAATCGTCATATTTAAATGCAGACTTTTTTTGAAGAGTACTGTTTCAGAATTGTCCACATTAATAGCTATTTTTCCATTTTTGAAGAGAAGATTCCAATGAATATATATGTTTTTGTAGTGCTTAGATGCCTGAACTCAGTGTCATGATCGCCGTATCATCAGCGTACATAGCTAGTGCTGTGTTTATGTTGTGTAGTATGTCATTCGTATAAATTAAAAATAATATTAGGTCAATCAAACTCCCTTAGGGGAAGTCCCCGAGTATTTGACGATGTGTGGCATAATAATTGTTATAGCGAACGAAATAAAATCTATCTTTAAAATATGACTTAATGATGTGTCCTGGAAATCCCAGGGTAATTAATTTGTGGAGTAACTCTTCCGGTCGTACATGATCAAAAGCCTTAGAAATATCGAGCAACAGTGCGGCAGTTATTTGTCGATTTTGGGACTTTTAGAAATAAATTCAGTCACTCTATACAGTTGATGATTTGTAGAATGTTTTCATTTGAATCCATGTTGTTACGGCATAATGCTCTTTGATTCCATAAATTCAAGTATTCTGTGCAGGCTGACAGCCTCAGTGATCTTCTTCAGCGAGGAGAGACGACTGATTGGTCGTTAAGATGACGGTTTTGTTGGATCCTTTCCAGGTTTCAAGATTAGCGCGATTAGCGCCGTTTTCCATTGCTCCGGAAAATACTGAAAGCATTTTAAATGACTCCATACCGCAGACACTATACACTTACATACATTATACACTATTCAAGTCTTCTAGATTTAAACCTGAGCCCAAAGTTACGGCAGCCGTTACCGCTACCGACCAAATAATTAGTGTAGTTTTTCAAATGCATTAAGAATTATGTAATAGCCGATCTTCATAATCATTGATTCTCTTAAGAAATACTGGGGAAAAAATCTGAAAAATGATAGATCCAGCAACAATATTTTGTAAAATTTCCGATGATAGCTGAAATTTACATTCATTTTTTCTCTTTTCTACAGGTCGACGCATTTTAAGTGTAAATAACTCCGCGCCTTCTCCGAATGGCGTGGGGGTGGTACCAAGCTGTGTTCCTCCTTCTTTTGAAGAATTTCCTGATGATTTCTTCACCCAAGAGCAGCGTGAAAGGGGAGGCCTCATCGTTCATGCCCTGATCGTTGCTTATATATGTTCTATGCTAGCAATTGTTTGTGATACGTACTTTGTACCATGCCTGAAAGTTATTTCTTCATGTAAGTGGCTCATTTTCATTGCTCAGATGTTGTCAAATTGTTTATTCTGAATTTATAAAACTAAAACAAAGTGATATTTGTTTTTTGAAACATTTTATTAAAAACAAAATTTTCTTTTAAAATCTAATCAAGATAATATAACAGAAAATATTCAGACAAATATTATACTAATGTAATGTTGATTACTCTTTCTTTTTTTTTTAAATTCCTTGTTAAAATTTAAAATATTATTTTCAGATTTCAAAGTTCCCCAGGACATCGCGGGAGCTACCTTCATGGCTGTTGGTACTTCATCGCCAGAACTCTTCTCTTCAGTCATAGGTAATTAAAGTTGTTTTTATGCCTTTTCCACGCTAGAAAGTTCTATGATAGAATTTCTGTAATTTTCTTTGGCCGTTGTGTTACTCTACCAAACTATTTAATATCCAAGTGGCGTGATATTTATTCATAACAGAGAGATCCAACCAACCTAGACAGCGAAACTGTCCATAAGACTTAGCTTGATTCCGAAAGGTGTAAGATCTTAAAATCTGGCTAACTGCTATTTTGCAGAAGTACTGCTATTTGATGTATTACAGTATCTTTAATTTTTCTTTTAATTTAAAACTATACATTGCTGGACAAACCTGGCGATTTAAAAGTAAAAGTAATATATGTTCTTAAAAATGTTCAAACTTTAGTTTATATTTTAATAATGCGTATTTAGTCGAATATATCTAATTCATATTCATATAAAATATATCCAATTAGAAACTTTTCTGAACACTTGCATCATTGTTGTATGTAATAAATAGGTTTCTAACGTCATATATTATGCATATTCATACAGATTAATTGCTTGGTTTAATAATTTAGGAATACATTGAAACATTTTTAAGCAAAATTCTTCATCATGTATTTTTTTAGGGTAAATAATTTAATGTACAACGAGATGCTAGAAAGCATATTTCTGAACTAAAGGCTTAAGCTTCCGCATCTATTACGTCATTTCTTTTGAAGGATGTACGTTTGAAAATAAAAATCTAAGTTTTTATTTTTCTTGAAGATGGAAGATAAATAATTCAAAAGAACAATGCTCTTGTCTATAAGCTATACTGCTTCGTTATTAAAGATCAAATCAAAGAAAGATTAGATAATATAGCTCTTTTCCATTCATAAAACTGGTGCGCTCTAGTTTTACTGCTTATTGACTTCCTTTGTTTACATTTTGATAGTAAAACCCTCGAAAGTGATTTCGTACAGATAAATACCCTCAACTATCCATTCAGTGTGATCGATTTCTATTACTCAAATTATTTAATTCAGTAATAAGAAAAAAATTTAAAGTAATTAATATTATGTTAATATTAATTATTGCATATCATATTAATTTAGAAGTCAAACAACAAAAATCAGCGTTATATTTTAAAATTTTCCCAGTATTGTTGTTTGACTTAGTTGTATTAACTTAGTAGTATTGGCGAATAGTGTTAATATTTGTTCGGCGTGTTATTGTATCTTAATTATTGCATATCATGTTGAGACATTTATTGAGTGTCTTATAATTGGCCAAATTCATTGCATTTCCAGTTACATTAGAAAATGTTGAAATACTAGAGAATATCTTTCGTGAAAATTTTGAACTCTTTTACAGTACATTAATATTTTACAGCGAATTGATTTAATAAAATGAATACTATATAAATAAAATATAATATTGTCAAAATTTTGCAAAACCTATTTCTGCATTAGATTTGCTCTATCGAAGAATTCAGCTATCACTTTCAGCCTCCTGTGTATAATATAATGAACACGCATTGCATTTGAACTAAATATTGATATGTGATAATTTTTATATATTGCAAAGACTGGCATTTTTGTTTTCTTTTTCTGGTGTTTATTTAATATGCATAATAATCTGCAAAGAAAAGATAAAACTAATTAAAAAATAAGTAAGTACAGTAATCCAAATGTTATACTCCATATTTATCTAATGGGGAGCATGAGCTTTCTCTCTAATTAGCAATAAATATGTGCTTGGTTTTAAAATAATAACATTTATATTACACCCGATTTTATTTAATGAAACATCACATTAGTTCTCGGCTTCTCCAAAAACATCTGTATTCCACTTCTTTAAGAAGGACTTTTATGGACAGTAAAAAATTAAAACTGCAACTCAGAGCTCCTGTGCTATATGTAGGGAGTAGAATGCATTCTTTAACATTAAAACGTTTACATCAGGTTGTTCTCCGGATATATAGCATGAAAGATTTTGAGACTCAAAACTAAAAAAATTAGTTTGCTCTTTTCTGCATTTATTCATTTAGAAACGTGATCTTGAGCAATATTTTTGCATCCTTTTATCTTTTGACACTTGGCTTCAAATTCTTTGTCAGATGGTGTTTAACTATTAGTGTTGCTTTTCCATTTCTCTCTAGACTTTTAACAAAACATCGAGAGATTGTCTTTTCCTTCACAAAGTTTCAGGCTTGAGCCCGCTCGTAAATTAAATTTTTATCAGTATTTCAATGCTTTCCTAATATCATCTTCATTATTTAGATTATGAGAAATAAGATATTTTTCTATACTATCGCTTCGTAAGTGAAATTTTAATGCAACTAGTGCCTCAGTCCTTGATATTTAGGTAATGTTTGATTAATGTAGGTATAATAGTATGTTAGTTATTGATTTTCATGTAACGTATGTTTAATGTATCTATAATATCTGTGTTGGTATGTTATATTTCAGCATGTCTTCACATATAATTGTTTTATGCATTATCATCTTACTGTTTCCATATCCTACCCCTGCATGTATATAACCTTGTACAATAGAATATTTTATGTTACGCCAGTCAGGCGCCATATGTGAAATCTAATGCACCTAGAGTTCGAGTCCTTGATATTTATATAGATACTGGTGGACGTGGCGCTACACCAATTAACCATATGGTATAAGGGTGGCGCACACTCCTCCGTCGCATGTCGCATACTATCGCTTCAAAGTTTCAGTTATCCCTTGATCAATCGACAATAGCATCTTTTATTTAGATGTCTTGGGGCATTTAATCAATATAACGTTTTCTAGAAGATTTAGTTTCTTCGAATAGTGTTTCGGTGGAACTCTATTCTAATAGAGTTCCGCCACGTGTGAAACTGAACTGTATGAAGAGTGCATATGAGAGGAACTGCATTTCAAAACTCTTTTCATTCAAAACACTTTTCACTCATCCACGCAGACTTTTGATTTGTGTGGTGCTCTGACAGAACTTGACAGTAATTTTCTGGAATGCTCTGGTCTTAACAGATTTTCGGATAAAAGGATTGAAGTTTAAATTTTAATTAAATAAAATTTAATTAAAATTCGTTTAACGTTGTTGATAAACCAAAGTGAGACTCGATTCTTGCTTTTCTAATATGCTTTTTTGTATCCTTACAATCACACATTAAGGAACAGAGAGATGGTTAAAATCCCATCAATTGATGAAAAAGGTAAACAAATCAGTCACGAGAGCACTCACGAATGTTATAAGTTTTTGCTGTACACTTCCTAATGTTACCACATTTTTTCAATTATTTCTTTTAAATGTTGAGATTTTCAAAAGAATGTCGGTTATTCAAAATCTGAAAAAATAATTGTTTTCCAATGGCGGGCACTTGCCTATAACGGCATCGGCCACTCCGAAGTCCAGAAGTGGTGGCCATTTTATTGTTGAAACACCTAATAAGCGTCCAGCGTTACCTTCTATGAAGGGACAGGCAAATTTACATCTATGCCTTCTCTGGGATTCAAACCCGGGTCCTTCGGTATCGCAGTCAGGCTCCTCTAACCACTGTCTCGGACCTAAAGAGTCGGACATTCCACCAGCTCCTAAGAATATGGCAAGAATGTTGGGATCAAGTCTCTACAGGAAGACGTGTTCACAATCTCATTCCCAAGGTCAAGACAACTATCCAAACTAATAGCAATTACATGACGTATTTCTCCTCACTGGTCATGCGCCCTTCCCTTCATACCTCTGCCGCTTTGGCTTGAGAGAGAATGGTAACTGTGAATTTAGGGAGGAGGGTCATCCAGACCATTTTGTGTTCTCCTGCCCACACACAGCACTTAACAGCCTCAAGTAACCAGGAGCCAGATTCTGGTCAAATTGGTTCCAGAATCTATAAAGTAACAGAGTTGCCCAGCGGAAACTAAAAACAATAATTGAGTACTGTACTAGTAATTACTCTTCTGACGCTGGAAGATAGTAGTCATAAAAGTCTTTATAAGCTAGTTCAATATGTCACCAACAGAGTATGTGACATGTATGTTCAATATATAATTTTGTATTTATACTGTGCCAGGTTCTCATACATAAAATTCGTACTGTATCTGAATGCTGTAATGTATCTGTACATGTTTATATCTTTTATTTATGGTATCTAATTTATACTAAGGATCACGCGTATCTCAATGGCATGCTTCTTGTAAACTTTAACTATCATGATAACGTATTTATATGGATGTATATATCAATATGAGTGACAGTATGTATACTTTTATTTATTTCGGAATATTTATGTATGTAAGTGTGTATATATTCTGTATATGAGTTGGTATTTATATGCATATACATATATTTTGATGGTACTCTTCTTCAAGTGCTTTGTATGCACATGTATATATTTCTTTGTAATTTGTTGTACTCTTTTTCAAGTGACTTGTATGCACATTTATATTTCTTTTTTGCATTTTATAAATGTCGTCTGCTCAGCAGGGGCTGCCCAGGGCTGCGGCCTGGTAGCAATTCTGCATGGATATATCTATACCTGGGTTGGAAGCCAACTCAGCGGTTTACCTCCCCTAACCACTATACCCTCTGAGCCGCAATAAAGAAAAATAATAACATATAAAAAATACGATGCAAGCAATTTTCCCACTATAATAGGATTTACATTTATAGGGGCTTTTGTAACGGAAGGTGACATAGGTGTTGGTACTGTGGTGGGTTCTGCTGTCTTCAACATATTAGCAGTGACTGGCGCAGCTGGTCTAGCAGTTGGAACAGCGGTAAGCAAATGCTATTTTATTACAAATTATTTTTTCAAAAGTTTCTAAGATATGTTAATGAATTTTTTATGCTTTTTGAATAATCTATATGCATATACATGATATACACGGAATTTCGTGTTGATATTATAAGAAAACTCTAAAAGATAGTTTAGATTTAATAAGTCAACATGAGTGAACGCAGCAAGAGTTACACACATTTGTTAAAGAAAAATATGTGCATAATAAAAGTTAGAAGAATATGTGCATAATATGTACAACTTAATCTACAGAACTTTGTTACCAAAATTTACTTTTCATTATAAATAATTCAGAACTAATATTCAGATTTCCAGAATCAGAAGCATTAGCATCAAATCTGAAAACGAAATTTATCAGCAGCGCCAGCTGCTAAATTTCCTTTGCTTTGACGTCAGAATTCTTTTCAGAGAAGTATTTCATTGTGATGACACTACACATTCGTTTCACCGGACGCTACTTTTCTCTGCCTTCTCATTTTTTAAACAGAGATCAGTGCTGAACTATGTATTTATAAATATCAGTGCACGGTTAAATTAAAATTTCTAAAAAGTTGCTTAATATACTTGCTAGCTGGGATGGAAAGGACTACTTAAGTTACAAAATATATGTGTTTCCTAGTACTTCAAATGAAGGAACGTGCAGGTAAAAAAAAAAAAAAAAAAGTTTAACGAAACTGTACAATATATTATGCTTTTATAAAAAAGTAATTATTTTAGAAATACTTCTTTCGTTAAAATAATTATTAAAAGTCATTCTAATACCATATATATTATGCAAGATGTTCCGTCAAAGTAGTATACATTCATTCAATAGGACGAGATTCCTTTCTTTGAGTACATGATATAATGACTGAAGGACTTTACAATCCACTGTTTGCCAGAAAAATTTGAAAGAAATCTGACGCCATGACATTTGAAAGAAATCTGCGCTTTACGGCAAATAACTTATGTGCTACTTACGTTGTAGCGTCACTAGGTTATTTTGAAGCAGGAGACATGAAAAATGCTCTCGTCGGGACTCGAACCCAGACATTTCGAATACGCGCCGAGTGTGCTTCGTTAGAACACAAAGGCATGCTGAAGGACGGAGAAAATACCTTACACTGGTGTGCAAAAATTAAGGACGAGACGGTTTTTTCAATATAACTTTGTACAAAAGCTTTCCAAATCAACACATTTAATACCGTAAGATCCCCAATACGTAAGGACATGAGTAATGTAAGCAACACTTACTAAAAGAGAAATCAGAGGGATAAAAAGAAGCTTTATTGAAAAAGTAGCATGGAGCGCAATGCGACTGAAGGCCGAAAAATCCCTGTGATGGGTGTCCAGCAAGAAACATCCGGTCTTTAATAGCGGATATGATCTCCCCTGACTGCTAGGCAGGTTTCACAGCGTCTTCCCATGTTGAGAATGAGGGTGTCAATGAGTTGTTGAGGCATTGCTGCCCATTCGTCTTGCAGCGCCAATCGAAGCTCCGGAATCATTACTGGTGGTAAGGTACGAACTGCCAAGCGTCTGCCTAGAAAATCCCATACATGCTCGATGGGATTGAGATCCGGAGATCGTGCCGGCCAATCCATACATTCAATATCCTCACTCTCTAAGAGCTGTTCGGCAGCTACTGTGCGATGACATGGTGCATTGTCGTCCATGAAAAGGAACTGCGGACCCATAGCGCCTCTAAAAAGACGCACATATGGAAGAAGAATCTCGTTACAATAACGGGTCCCGTTGACTGAACCTGCGTCGAAGATGTGAAGGTCTGTATGACTACCAAGCATGATGCCTCCCCAAACGAGAACACCGCCACCTCCATACCTGTCCCTTTCAATGATGTTCGAGGGATGATTGCGGCTTCCCCGCTCTCTCCAGATGAGTATGCGATGAGAATCGCTACTCAGACCGAATCTGCTCTCATCTGTAAAGAGTATTCGTCTCTATCCATTGTCTCTCCAATTCCGGTGTTCCCGGCACCACAGAGAACGCCTTCTCCGATGGGCAGGCGTTAGAGGTACACACCGTACAGGGCGTCGTGCAAACAGACCACCACCGTGCAGTCTTCTGTCCACGGTAAAATGCGATATCGGTCGTCCAGTCGCCTGTGTCGTGTGTCTAGCGATTTCTCCCGCTGTCTGCCGCCTGTTTCTTCTGGCCTGTAAGGCAATATACCGGTCATCTGCGGGTGTGGTTCCTCGTGGACGACGACTACTAAACCCCCGGATAGCTGTTCCTGTAGTTTGAAACTGTCTTCAAAATCGTGAAACGATGCTGTGATCAATTCCGAACTCTGCAGCCACACTTGTCCACTGCGGCCTTCCTCCAACTTCCCAATGATTCGACCTCGGGTAAAAGCATCCAGATGTCGTCTAAAAGATTGATTATTCGCCATTTCTCGCTGAGGTAGCAACTCGGTGTGATTTTAACTGCTATACGGCGTGCAATCTCTTTGCCAGAAATACTGATCTTACACCGATAACATGCTTTATACTACTCAGACACTCCCCCATTACGTCTACCTGCATATCTGCGCATGTGCTACCGTACATCACCTTACTTAATCTCCTGATTGGTCTTTCTGTCCGCTCTGCCACTTCATTCAGCTGATATGCTAATTTTTCGACTTCGTCCTTAATTTTTGCACACCAGTGTATATACTTCCCCTTTTAAAGGGTATCTGGGGATGAGGAGATTCAAACACCAAATCCTAATAAAGTGGTGACGAATTATCGTCTACCACCTTTTAGTTCGAGCGCCACTGTACAGTCATTAGATTTTTTTTTTTTTTTTTTTGAAGCAGGAAACATGAAAAATGAGCAATGCCCTCGCCGGGATTCGAAACCTTACACCTCGAATACGCTCCAATTGTGCTACCGTTACACCACAAAGGCATGCTGGTAGAAGAGAGAAAATTCCTTATAATGTATTCATTATAAACTTTATGATGTATTAACTGGCTCAATTTTACACCTTTGTCGGTGTTATGTGCTTTATGGTTTCACTGTGATAAAGCAGCGGTACATCTAAACTCTTTTTGTACGTTGGTTGCATGAGGAGTACTCAGGCTGCTAGTCTTGGCCATCATCGCCAGATATGACATCTTTGGTTTCAACTCTATAAGCTATCTGAAGGAATTAGTGTATCGAACACCAGTCATACAGAAACCAGACTACAGAACACCAGACTACAGAAAGCGACACAATCGCTCGTCTTCACGGGTATGTTCACTTTCGTAGACATTGCGGACAATAGCAACTGAATCGTGTTAATCAGACATTTCACGGCATGCGTAAGAATACCTCTATATGCACGATAGTCATTTTGAGCCTCTTCTTGCATAAAAGTAATGACAAATGCAAATCCAATAAAGCTTATTTTCGAATTCTAGAAAGACATCGTATATTTTCTTCCGCAGTTTTCTCAAAACACGTGGGTCACATAGGTGATGGTTTCTTCAGTCATTTCATGTTTTCTTGCGAACTCATGGTTCACATTTCATGCAGATTTGAGGGGATATCCTGTATATCTCTCAGAGAGTTCCTGACTCTTACATATATCTCACACAGAATTCTTGATCCTTCATTTGTATTTGAATATCAATTGAATATTCAAGTTGTAAGGATCTTTAGTTGTATAACATTTATTTTATTTTAAAACTTTAATATCCTCTTTTATTTCCCACTTCCGGCCAGAATTAAACGCGTTAACTTGTTTATGCAAATTGTACTTGCTAACGCCCAAGTATTAAGTTGTGGCTTTTTGCCAAGAGATAGAGAGAGAGAAAGTGAGCCGCCTTGCCACTGCATTACACGCGAATTTTCAATCAAAATCAGCTGCTGTCCGCCTTTAAGGCCAGAGGTTTAGTCCTCGTGATATTTAAGGCGTATTGTAGTTTTCGGCGGTTTGCGTACCATATACGTAATATTTTAAAAGGCCAGTCTTATGTATTTGTGTAAACTATTCAAAGTTCAGCTCTTATTTAAAATGTTAGTTAGTATTTTAATATTTTTGCGTTCAGACCACAAGTGGCTGGTCTCTGTATCCCGAAGTACGGGATCTGTAATATCGTGGACAATAAAGGGTAAAGTTAACCCTTCCTGCTTGTGTCTTCCATTCCACACATATTTGAACATAGCTTGAGTAAGCTTCCTGTTCCTATTCAGGACACATCATATTCCCGAAACAAATCAAAAGATATACAAGTCCTGATAAAGTTAATGTGTAAAATATATTTTTCATCTAATTTAGCAATGCCAGTCAAAGCATTCGCATATATTTCATGTAGCAATGAAATTTTAATCCTGGGTAGAATGGTTTACATTTATTTGGAATTTTTCGGATATCATGTTGAAAATGCGCACGGAGTTTTTTAATGGTTTTTCGAATGCTATTAAGTAAATATCTTCATAGTATTTTATCTTCAAAGTTACCAAGGTTTAAATTATTCAAGAAAGCAAACTCGAGCAACAGAAATTAAGCGCAGTCTGTCAAATTAATCATAAGAAATATGAGAATTATGCATAACTTGTAAGTAACAACATCTCACTTTTTCTTTTACAAAAGCGAAAGTCAGCTCTCTTTCGCAAAAATCTTCCTTTTTCTTTTGTTACAGAAAATACTGTTGGACTGTTGGATTATAAGATGAATTGTTGAATGTGAAATACTACATGATTTCCAGAAAATACTCTAAGATTAAATATATTGCGAGTGTATCCCCTGAAAAGGCAATTCACTAAACCTTATTAGTAATTAAATAAATGTATGCAAAAAGAGATAAAAAATTTTTGAGACATAAAAGTAAATGATACACAGAATAGAACGTGAAATGCTTACGAAGTAGCTAAGAAAGGAGAGCTGTTATTTGTTCCTAAATAATATCAGGAGAATTTGTTGAAAATAAATAATTTCGTGCATTACATACTCTAATTTTTATTGACGTTTTAAAGTTATTAAAAATAATTAAATATTCTTATAGGAAATTCTTTATTCATCATTTATTACAGGCAGTTCACTTGGATTGGTACCCCATCACACGCGATTGCTCTATGTACATAATCACCATAAGCGCTCTAGTTTTCATCATTCATGACAATATAGTCACTTGGTGAGTATTTCTAATTTAACACGAAATGCTTTATATTATATTTATCTCTTTTTATCACACTTTTGATGGAATTTTTATCAACTGAAATTCCTGTTTTCTATGACTGAATGAAAAATCGTTGAGAAATTAAAATTTACAATTATTGAATACCACCAAGGTCTTTTTAAAGAAATAAAATTTTGTAAATTGTTGTAAATAAAAAGAATTGCAAAGAATTTGAAAATTTTTTATTATACCAAAACAAGTTCAAATAATCAAAATTGTCGTAGACTCAAAGCCTTATTTGATTAAATTTTTAAATCTTAACTTCAGTTCTACGACCATGATTCCACAAAGTCCAGCAATTTTTTTTTAAACCAAGAGATACATAACCGAGCAATGCCTTTGAAGCCCGCAGTATAACATACTAGATACATATATTATACTATATATATTTAACAAATTTAAATTCTTAACAAATACGTATAAAAGTAAAAAAGTAAAAAGCAAATTTAAATTCTAAGAAAGGAAAAAAGCCCAAAATAATTTAAAATAATTTAAAAATATGCAAACATGTAAAGATTTAATTCTCGAACTAATCTACAATATCATTTAATTCGAAGCATAAGCAAATCAAGTGCAAAATCTATCCATGAAAATAATCTACTATTTAATAAATTAAAATTAAATTAAATTAAACAATTTTTTTTAAATATGCATATGTGAATGATCGTAAAGTAGGCAGGAGACAGACTTATCAAGGGGAAGTTGACTCCAAACCTAACTCTCCAATCATTCAATTCGTGTTTCGTCATTCATGCAGGCAAGGGTAAAGGTCAAAACCAAAAGTAATTCCAATAAAGTGGTACCCTTAGAAATTAACATTTAAGTATTAACATTTAAGAATTAAAGTTCAAAAAGGAAAATACTAATTAAGTCTTTTGAGAAACAAGCAAGTAAAGTCAAGAATTAAACTTTCTTAAAAAATTAAATTTTTTAAAATTAATTTTTTAAAAAATATAAAAAATCTAGAAACCAATGTATTTAGAAATCCTTGTCTACAGAAAATTCCCCTACACGAATATGCATATCAATAAAAAGAAACTATAAAAGAGCATACATATCCATATAAACCAATCAGAAATAAAAAACACAAAATAAAAAAATAATTCACAATTTTTAAAAATAAATATATATTTAAAAATATAATTCATATTTAGAAAAAACTTAGATACTACATAAATTTTTTTAAAAAAAATACTTAAGCAAGTAATAGTAAGTTTTTAATTCTAACTTACCTACTATATGAGTGTGGGGGTCTGCAAAGTGTGTGAAAGAGAAGTAGTGTGTCTTCAATTATATATGGCTTATGTAGGTAAAGTTGAGTGTCAAGCTGCTATCTTTGTTACAGTAAAAAATTTTTGTAAATATTAATATTAATTAAATTAAATTAAATTAAAAATCCTAAAGGTAGTAATATCAATTATTTAGAGAGTTAAGTAACTGAGCCAATCAAGAGATGTATGTTTTGCTGAAGAAATTAAAGTAAAGTGGTATGTGAAAAAAATGTAAACTGTTTGTAATTTGAAATGGTGTTCTGTTGAAAATTGTGAAAATTGTTAAAAAATTAGTGAAGATTTTTGTGTGAAAATTGCAAAAAATTAAAGTCTTAAGAAAAACTGAAATGTTTTAATATTAAAGTTAAAGTAAAATTTCCAAAATTTTTTGAAAATGAAGTCCTTAAGAAACCTTTAAAAATACCCAGAAATTTCTCAAATTTCTTTAGAAGTTAAATAAAACTTAATTGATGAAAGAAAATATTAAATGTTTAATGAACTTGATTTAATTGGTATATCAAAACTTAACTAATACTGGCTAAAGTATGAAAATTAGAAGAAGATTAAAATCTTCACTCAATTCGGCTATATTGAGACTTTGAAAAGAGTGGCCCTTTATAGTAAAAGGAAAGAATCCAGTATTGATTAAATACAGTCAAGGAGTCTTTAATCCGGACTCGTCGGGACTTCGGCGATCCGGATTATCGATTTTTCCGGATTATAGATCATCAGTTTAAATCTGGTAAGATGGCATGCAGAAATTATAAATTAAAAATATGAAACCGTAATTTATAAAATAATGAGCAATTATGATCTAAAGGGTATCAAAATTTACAAAAAAAGAAGCTTAATATTTATTTGTTTACTTTATTAAACATTTCTTTCAACGCGCGCATGCGTAAAGCATACCTTACGCATAGCCGAAATTAGAAAATTGCAACCAGAAAACTATTTGATTTGTATTCGTGATATTTATAATGACGAGGAATTTGATTTAAATCATATCAAAGACGGAGTACATCGAGATTAAATACTACATTTAGTAAGGAATTATAAGCCGAATAAATTAAAAACATCTGCCCTGAAGATTACGATAGTGCTGACAGATCAACTTCCAGTTCATTGCACGCCGCGACGTCCCCCCCCCCCCGCGCAGAGCAGCGTGAAATTGATACACAGATTTCGGAACGGTTAGATAAACAAAGGATATGTCTTTATCCATTTTTTTGTAGCAATTCGATTTTTGTTTGATGGACATCGAAACATACTTTCGTTTTCTAGATCCTTTGGGAGCTCCAGCATCGGAAATTCTATTTGACATAATCGAAAGTTCAGCTTACTTTTTATAAAATTGCTCTTACAGTCTGCAAAAAATAATAAGCCGGATCCAATTCGAAGATTAAGGAACAACGCAATCATCAACATTAACTGAAATAGATAATTAGATAATTTAGCTTATATCGTCCGTTATAACATTAAACGCGCACGCGAAAATGTATTCTGCGCTTGCGCAGACGATATGCGCAGTCGTAAATGTCTTGCGCGCACGTAAAACGCCTATGCGCATGCGTCAACTGCGGCGCATGCGCAGAAAGATTTTAGCTTTGAGGTCCGGATTATAGATCATTCCGGATTATGGTGTCCGAATTAACGACTTTTGACTGTATACATTTTACAAAATATTTATAATAAAATTTACAATAATTTCTACTCTTTTATATCCTTCAGTACCCTCCAGTAAGGGTTAAGGTAATGTTATCATATCCAAAAGAGCCAAAAATTATAAAGTCAAGGCCTGTCTTTTTATATATAAATAATAAATTTTTGGTGGTACTTGGTTATCAACTTGTACATTATTAGTTTATGATTTCTTCCTTTAAATCGTCATTTTCAGACATATATTTTTATTCTGATAATTTGGCTATGAACGTGTTTTCTATTACTTTTCTAGAGATATTAGACTTTACAATTAATTAGTTTAATAGTAGGAAATGGAAATTCCTTCTTTTATTCAATAATTTAATTTGTTGTGTTTAATAATTTGCAGGTCTAGGAATTCAATAGTATCTTGATTCGTATTCGTTTTATTAAGTGTTAAACTATTTGGGTAAATTTTGAATTTCTCAAAGAATTATTATTGAAATTATAATATCATCTATGTATCTAAAAGTATGAGCAAATAGCTTTAATTCATTTTTATTTAAACTGGTTGGAATTTATATTCAAATGTAAAAAGAAATAGGTTACAAATTTGTGTAGAAACTGTTTGCTCCCATAGGAATTCCTCTAACTTGCTCAAAGATTATTATTGATTTAAGTAGTTATTAAATAATGCGCAATTCAGATAAGTATTCCATCTTTCAATACAAAAGATGTCAAGTATGTCAGGAAAAAGTTGTGGGAGTTGCATTAAACTAGTAAAAATTTCTTCTAATGGTAGAAAAGTATAAAGGTTTTCAAAGTCATAGCAGTTAATGTTCTTTATTGTTAAACGTTTGAAACTGCTGACAACTGGAGCATTATTATAAATAATCCAACTATAATTGTGTTGTTTGTTAACGAGATGTTGGATTAAATTACAGATTTTTTAAGTATAATTGCAAATATGAATCTATATTCTTTTTTATATTATTTGTACCATTGGAATAAATCTAAAGTTGAGTGGTGATTTTATGAAATTTTGGGAGAGCATATAGATTTGCTAATCTATTGTAGTTAGATGGTTGTGAAATTTGCAGTTTCTTATGAAATGCTTTTAGCTTTTTTGCAATAACATTTTCTTGTAGATTGGTGAGTTTGTAAGTAATGGCATTATTGAGTTCAGTATTAATTAATGAGATATAAAAAATTTTCATATTATGCTAAAGTTATTATTGGCTTTGTAAATTTTGGTAATTATGAACTTTTCTTTTAAATCCTGTAAAAGAGGTATGAGAATATTCCACTGTAAATGGCTATTAAATTCAATCTTCGAATTTTGCTTGAATTCTTCTAATACTGCATGTTTCCATGCCATAAATGTAGAATTTGGAATATTTAATTTGAAACTAGTTTTAACTATAATTCGTCTATATTTTTTTTACGAAACTTTAAAACTGTGATGTTTGTTAATTTTTAGTACTGGTCTAAATTTGGTACCTTTTTCCTTAAAATTCTTAAATGTTGGTTTTGAACTATTGCTAAAATTGCTGTTATAATATGTTGATGAAATTTATCTATGAAATCTTTGTATTGAAGCTCTTTTACAGTATCAATGGGCTGTAGTGGCTAATCATGGTGGTTAATTAGCAAGTACTAAGAGGTTTTCGATACTTGAAAGCTGGTGAGATCGTACTTTGGTAGCTGGAAAAAGTTGTTGACTTTTTCTGAAAATTTTGCTAAAACTGAATATGATCATAGTTAGGATGAAGGAAATGATTTTGCAGTAATATTATTGTATTTGTTATTTGTAGAGAACTTATAATTGCAAAAGTCAATAATAAGGTCTTTGATAATATTGTGCCCTGTAAAATGCTGTTTTACAAATTTTATTAGTAATTTTTAAGAAATTGTGCTTACAAGTATGCACCAGTAATTATATTTTTAGTGAAATTATCAGTAAGAAAGTAATTATTTTATATTATCGTTTAACTTTTTTGTATTTATTGTTGAAAGAAGTTTATTTTTATGTTTATTACCTGCTCTGGTTCCTCGTAATGTTTTTTACTGAATAATTTAAAATGGCTGTAAGTTGGAATTTCAGAATTTAATTTAATGTGTTGGTTGAATGTATTGAGTCCATAAGGGTAAAGTGTTTTGAATTTAAGCATGTAGAGTGACTCTTGAAATAATCTAACTTTGTATTCAGGTACAATGTCCAAAATTTGAATATTATTTTTTTTGAAATCATGTATTTGAAAATGTTCTAATTCAGCTGTATTAAGTGTGCTAAAATTAGTAGTTGCAAATTTTTTAATGTGTGCTCTGTGGTTGTTAATTCTAATATCAAGACTATTTTTGGTCTGTCCAACATATTTAAGATTCCATGTGTTACAAGTGATGAGATAAATGCAATTATAAGTTTTTCAAAATGGGAGTTGTTTAGTGGCTGTGATATTAAAAGGCATATTGCTAACTTTACAAGTAAGTCATTTGCTAGAATGACATTTATGGAAATTTATGTGACTGATACGAGCCGTTATAAAAGTAAAGAGGGAGCTAACCTACAATACAGTGAATTTTTAAAGTAAAAATTCTTAACTCAATTTTTGGACAGAAAAATTTTAAAAAACTGGGAATTTTTTAATGTATTTGCTAATTAATTCACTAAATTAATAAAAAATGAACTATTGTATTAAACTCTTTAAGTTAATTAAACTAAATTATTTAGAGAGCGAGTTTAAAATAAAAGCAAAACTATTAGAAAAAGAAAAAGAAAGTTGTTTTTAATAAAAGAGAAAAAAACCAGGTAATTAGCGCTAAAACTGCTAAGTACAAACAAAATTGTTTCATAAGAATAAATTGAGTTTAATTAAAAAAATTAAATTTAAATACATATTTAATTAAATATTCTTTGCGCCATTGCTGCAAGGAATGAATATATATATTAACATTCATAGCTGGAGGTTGCTGCGTTGTAAATAACTGAAAACAGCGGACATACTGAGGTCGTCTGGTTAGATGTAACTTTTGAAGAAATCTCAACTCACCTGACTATCTGAGCATATCTTCATTACTTGTTGATTACTCTATTAAGGTACACCTTATGGCAGGGCACGTCACAATGTGGACAACCTTCGTTCCGCAGTTTTAATTATGATGTGTGTTATAATTTTAATAATGAATACAAGCAGAGAAGCAAGAGACGTCCTTTAGCTCGAAATCGTAGGCAGGAAAAGGATATGCATGATAGTTTGATGGTTTGGTTGCTTATTCTGGTGTATAGCAAGGAATTACTCTACTACAGAAATCATTTTGTTATGCAAGGCTCCGCCGATGAATTCCATGACGTTAACAAGCCTAAGTGTTTGTCGAGAAACCTTTGCGGAGGCAGTGATGTTTGTTGTTTATCTTAACAAGGTATCCTTTGTTACGACTGCAGATTAGCCTTTCAAAGATCTTGCTAAGAGCAGAGACTAGGCTTATAGGCCTGTAGCTTGTTGGGTTGTCTGGTTTTAATGGTTTTTGTATGAGGAAAGTAAGTGCGAGTTTCCATGTGCTGGGAGAGTACGATTTATGCAGACACGCATTAAAGATGCTATTCAGCTTGTAGGGTTTATATTTATTTTAACTAACATTTATTTTAAGTTTAAACTATCTTTCCTGTCAAGCCTTACTTTCCCCTGGAATTGCCAATGCCAGAGTATGTAAATTTTAGTAGAAACGCGCAAGGATTCAAAATAGTCAGCGGAAGTTTCCTGAGTTAAATAGAAGGGAAACAGTTCGAAGGTGTGCTTTCTTGCTTCACGAGCGTGGAGGTGGCTAGTTAGAAATTGAAGAACCACGCGTTTCGGCCTGTGTGCTTGCCTCGGCAAATTGTTAATCTTTCAACGTAATATTCAGAGTTTGCTGAATTATCAGCGGTATTTTAGAACGCGGTGAGGTTTAGTTACGTTTAGAGGGCCTCGTAGTTAGTCACTTGTTATTATCTCTTTTTAGTTTCTTATTTTTATTTTACCGCCGGGTCGGCGTAGTTGTGAGAGTCAAGAGCACGCATTTGTAACTTCTAAAGTTGAATAAAAAGGGATTTAAACCCTTCTCAAGACTTTGGTCTATTTCTAGTTCTCAGCAGTCACCACTTTGTTGCGTGCAGGTTGGAAGCGCGCAACTTTACAAGCTTACTAATTATTTTTTCAGGCAAGTTCTTCGTTTTGTTATTTATGGTGTCTTTTCCCGGCGGTTTCCTTGGGTATTAATAATATTTCTAATTTCTAATGGGGAAACGTGAGATCGCTCCAAGTGTATTCCGAGTCTTTGATTAAGATTGATGGCAATTTTGAACTTTGCCTGGGAAATTCGAAGTGTTGTCTCGTGGTTGGGCTGCACTTTTCGGATTCATCAGTTGGAAATCAAGGAGAAGGGCCACATTCTGTTTCATCTCTGATTCTGGTTATGTTGTTCGGTTTTTTTCCCCGAGTTTAGCTGGCCCGAGTACCTCCAACACAAAAAAGGTTGTTCGGGACTCCCATGTAAATCTAAATGCTTTGCAGACTGTATTTTCTTTAAGTTCGTCTTCTTTCTTGGGAAGGCTTCCGTCAGGGAAGAGAAATCTTCGTCATTTTGTGCCACATCCTCTATTCGTCTTGAAGTACAGAAAAACGATTGTACCTTGGAATCGTCAAAACAGGTGGAGAGTTCGGGCAATACTTTCGCTTGTTGCTATTCTCCTGAAAGTCCATATCCTCAGCTGTTGTAACGTTATCAACAGACGTTCTTGAATTTTCTACAAGCTCAGGAAGTCTTTTATCGGAGACCTGACAATAGAGGTTGGGATTTTATAGACAATAACTTCATCATCCTTTAAGGTGAAAGCCTTAAAGTTCGTCTAGCCTAAGATGGTCGTCAAAAATCTGTCTTAAAAATTCATAGTCGAAATCAAATATATGCGTTTATCATAGCTGGTGTATTTAACTTCAGGGCACTTTGTTTTAGTACTTCACGGCGATTGGGCAAGAGTTTTTCGTAATGAGATTTATGCAGGGAAAGAGCAGATGGTTGGGGCAGCCATACTTTAATTGAAAAGTAGAAATTTAAAAGTGTATTGTCAATTACGTATCTTTCAAATCATACATATATATGTATGTATATAGTAAATAACAGCCCCTAACTCTTTTCTTAAATTTATTTTTCGTTTGTATCCTAAAAACAGTAATTGCTTATAATAAGTCTCTCTAAACTGCGTCATTTCAAAACTAATCCTCCTCACATGATTCTTACATAACACTAATGATGCCAATAATAATTTTAAATTTTCTGAACTGGAATTCTGAAACTCGAATAAGCAATCAGAATAAAGCTGAACAGAAACTGAGTTATTTTGAACCGGGTTTTCGTCTTCGATACGTCGCATTCTTTTTTCGCTGCTGTTCCTTGTTTTTGAAAATATTCTCAAGACAGCTATGTAACTATTCAAGGAAGGGCGTGCCTTTTGCCCTAGTTTAATTGCTCGTTTGTCAAAAATATGCTGTAAGCTATAAAAAGTGTTCAAACTGAGACGATTATATCTATAGGCCTATAACTTCATCAATAGGCCAACATCGCTAACAACTACCCTATTGATTTCTAAATCATCACTTATTTTTCATATAACCTTAGAATAGTATATAATGAAACTAATAAAGACTAATTAAAGATACGAGTGACTATAAATATAGAAAAATGTATTGACTAATAATAAATTTAACGTTTTTTTTTTGTTGAAAATATATTTATTAAAAACTATTTTTTATCTAATCATAACCATAACTAGCAAATGTTATTTTTATGCGTGGTTTGAAAAACTTATTATTTGAACGGCAGTTTTTTTCCTTATTTCAGGATTGAAGCCTTGGTACTCTTTTCTATGTTTATTGCATACTTACTGCTACTTTACTTCAACTGCCATGTACAAGATGTTACAACAAAAACGGTGAGAAATTATTGCACTTATTTTTTGATAATATTAATGAATTGATTACAGGATATATTCATTCCGACACAGCAGTTATTACGTTCTATTTAATAATCTTTGTAAATTAACAGTTGTCTGGAAAGGCCGAGCTTTCGAATATTCAATCAAACAAATAATCAGGCTGCATGAAAAACACACATTTTAATAAATTTCACTAAACTAACTCTGTCATATCTGCAACAAGATTTAATTTCAATTGAATCATTTTTTCTTCTCCGCTAATTTATCTGACAAGATTTTCAGGTGCTCCTGTCATTCCATGCAATCTAAAGTCGCCTCCTTAATTTGACTCTTTCCATCCACCCAAAACCATTTCTTTTCATCTTCTACTATTCTCTCGTCATTCAGTTTCTTTCCACACCTCAGAGTCTTCGCATCAGACGCCATACGCCATGTCAAGGGCCATTTATGTATTTCATCTTTATTATATTCCAAAGAATGACTTAATGAAGACCTGAGAAGAATTAGGGTAGAGATGAGATAGGGATATAAGAGATGAAAATTTTTTTTTATTTCCATTTGGAATATCTTTTTGATCGTATACGTGCAACTATTCTACAAATTAATTTTTCTTTAGATTTTATTCACACTTAGTATTCACAAAAGTAAAATATCTATCTAATTCAGCTAACTACAAACATAGCAAAATCTCAAGTCGTTCTGAAAAGATTCGACAAGAAATCCGAGCAATGCATATGCGACTCAAGTGACCCGTTAGCAAATAACGATCGTTACATAAAAAGAGGCTTTTTATTACATAAGGAGGGAAAGCACTTAATTCTACAATAGTGCGAAACATAGGCTTCAAAATATTATCTGCGTTAAAAGTTTCTCAGCGATGATGGAGGTTATTGTCACTAATGAGTCCAACTTTATTGAAAATGTATGATCAAGTCAAAGAAGTCAAAACTGTAATTACCATTGCAGTGCGCAATATATGTATTGTACTTAGTAATTAAAATAAAGGTCTATGAAGGATAGTAGTACAAATATAAGGTGATCAGTTTATATTCAAAGCAAATATTCCAGTTAGTATATTGTTATGAATTTTGCATATACGTAAATAATTTTAGAAAATTAGATGTGATTTTTTTTTTTTTTTTTTTTTTTTTTTTTTTTTTTTGAAATACTTGAATGAGACGAAGCTCGGCCGAAAAAATAAGTTTAAAGGGGCAAGTCTAATTAACATTGAGGGAAATAGCCAAATTTGACAAGAGATCGGCAAAAGTCGCCAAGCGTCGCAACCAGTTAGCGACATTTCAGCCCGGTTTCTGTATAACTGGTATTATAATTGAAAAACTGCAATTGATCCCTGTATGTAACTGTAATCCTACCGACTCTCATATGCTTTCCAGTAACTTTGAGAAGTGGAAGGTACTAGATATTTCTCGGCGACCTGCGAAAACTACATAAGACCGAAGAGAGAGCATCCATTTCTCAGTTTTTAGTTCAGAGCTGAATTCGGAATATTGAGATATTCATGAGAGCTTCGCTTTTTAGATGCGCTTTGAATTGCGTTGTGCTTAATGTTCTTAGTAGTTTGAATTGTAAATTCTGTTTGTGCTCTGTGATATTGAAAACAACTGTACGAGTATTTTTTGGGAAGTTCCAGAACTATAAAGTGTTTCTTTTGGTAAAATAAATTTTATCAAGCTGTTATTATCAGTTCTATGTGCATTCAATCCATTACGAACCCGTACGCAGGCAAGAATATAACCATGTTAGGATTTACCCATCAACTGATAAGACATGAAGAAACAACAAGGCATTTTATGCCTATCTTTTTGAAAAACACATAGTGCCTTTAAAGCAACAGAGCGGAATAGAAAAAAAATATTTATTACTCATAAATGAAACCTTTTTAAGGTACAAATTTTAACAGATGAATTTTTATTATTACAGTACAGAAAATTTCTTTCTTTTACCGCAGGCAAAACAGGTTCACGAGTGGTGGAAAAACAAGAAAGGAACTTCTCTCGAAAGCTTACCTTACACCGTGTTTGATGAAAAGTCACCACTGTTGATGATCGATCCTCGCTCCTTCACTCGTTATCACAGCAATGAAGACTCTGCCTGCCCATCATCTGGTAGCACTTCGCTCATGGCTTCCAGCGAAATGACCAGCAGTGGTGAAAGCGACACGTTAGCGAAAGAAAGTGGGCAATTCAAGCAACCACCTTTGCTTGTTGAGCAAATAATCACTGAGAAGTACATTGTGGTTAAAGATATTGATGACGGATTGGATACCTTACAGAAAGGTAAAAATTTGCTTCAATAAAATGAAACGAAACCTAAATTTCGTATTGTTTAACTATATGCAGTGGTATCAATAAGGTTATGCACCCGCCCCGAAATTAATCGTACTATGGGAGGGAAAATACTATCTTGCTGATGACAGTACTCCACGATTTACAAGGGAATCACTCATCTCAGTTAGTGTGGAAATTAATTATATTGTAGGATGCCTGACGCAGACTTTTGACTATGTGCTGTATCTAATTATAATCTTTCACTGCATACTGGTGTTATTTTTAAGTCAGATTAATGCTATGCCAGAGTCAATCCTGTGCATCGGACAACCCTGTGAAGGTGACATCCTCCTACTTATGATTATGTCATTATCAAGATTTCTGTTCTATTATGTCGATCGTACGGCGTATCGATCCAGTGCTAGTGTCTGTTCTGCGCCAAATATGTGGTCTTGCGCAGTTCGGCCCTCTGAATATAACCCAAGTGACTACCTCGTTTGAATCCCTGTCGCAGCACTATCTCGTACTGGAAAGTACAGAATTTAGGAATAGAATTCGTTAGTTATTTATTGTCAGAATCTTTAAATGCACTTATTCAGTGAGTGAGTGTGCGCTTATATATTCACACACGAGCACACATTTATAGTCGAATAAAGGTAACAGAATTAATTATGCAGTAGAAAAAATTCTCAAATTTCTTCATACTCTAATTGCAATCTTTATGAATTAAGACAGAAAAACTGAAAATTCTAGAATAATACTAAATTCTTCATTTACAGACAATAACATTTCATACAGCTTATTGTAATAGAATGCTTAATACTCGGTTTGGTTAAAAAAACAACTTCCCTGGTATATGAACCTCTAGCGGCCTACCCTCTCAACCAATTAAAATGAAATTTCAGATACTATTATTTCAAAGTATGCGCTCGATTGCGATGATTTCAAACAATAGAGTTCTTACGGTTACAGTAAAAGCTTTTCGAAATTTTGCAGGGCAATATCTGTTTCTTCCCTGCGCAAATTAATCAACGCACTGAAAAACCACAAATGGCGTTAGAACAATACGCGTATGACGAAAATTGACGGCGTAAAATATTTGAAAAGAAGAGCATTGTAAAGTACTAGAGACAACACAAGAGAAGAGAGCAAATAAAACTTTTATTGGAATTAAAGTTTTCAATGTACACAAAAAGATACATACGTTTCAAGACAGAATCATCTTCAGCAACTTTGCAATTTCGTGACCACCACAATCCCCCTGATTTCACTCCGATGGATTTCTAGTTCTGGGGTGTATGCATCAAATCCACGAGATTTGGAAAAAAGTGAAAGATGCCATACACGTGAAAATTAGACAAATTCTTCCTGCTATGCTATTTTCATCTTTGTTGTAAACAGTCTCCCGCATGCAATACGTTATCATCTGTGATGGTGGGCACGCTGAAATCTTGTAATTCCAATAAAACGTGAAAGCTCTATTGTTTTAAACCATCACAATCTCGAACGCGAACCTTCAAATAACAATATCTGAAATTTCATTTCGATTGGTAGAGCATATAGGCCATAGTTCCATATATGGGGGGAAACCACCCTGTATATATCTCTGTCTATCCTGCTCTATATATATATATGTAAGAAAAATAAATAATATGGAAAAAATCAAATTAGCAACGTAAATTAATTTTCCTCCTGTATTCTAAAAATATTAACCTCTATTTGCATTGCGTCATTTCGAGACTAATCTACGTCATATGATTCTTATGTAATTTTGATGATGTACAGGCATTTGAATTTTTGGAAGCAGGCAAGATGAAATATAAGCAAACGCCTTCGCCAGAAATCGAACCACGGGCCTCTGAAATACCGGGCTCAGTGTGCTGACCACTACACCACGAAGGCACGCTAGGAAGGTGGGAGAAATACCTTATATACTCCCTTTTAAAGGGCGATTGGGGTTTTTTAGGGGACCCAATTGCCAAATCCTGGGTGAGGAGAATCATCATCCAACACCCTTTTAGTTCGAGCGCCACTTAGAGACATTAGGTTAATTGGAAAAGTCGGAGAGATGAAAACTTAGCAAACGCCTTCGCCGGGAATCGTACCACGGACCTCTGAAATACCTTCACAGTGTGCTGATCACTACACCACGAAGGCGCGCTAGGAAGGGGGGAGAAATACCTTATAATGTAAATGGAACTAAAACTCAAGCAGCTAGTAATAATTTTACACAAATATTAACTATCCAATCAAAATGCATTGAGAAACGAAACTAACTCAATCTAAATTAAGATTTCACTCTGAACATAACACATTTGCTTTTTACACTTTGGCCTAGCAGGACTGCAGTCTGTCTGCTCCTTCTATCTTACTGCAAATTTATCGAAAATGTACACTTTTTGGAATAGGTACATTTAATATGCCCACTTGTATGTGCCAGCAATATGCTTGCTGAAGTAAAAGTTGAATTAAATATACCTTAACTGCCAAATTTCTTATTCATTGTAGATCGGCGGTTAGTGACATTTAGATTCGATTTATGCGCTAGTCATAATGGGTGGCCTAAAATAGACTGACATTTTTTAAAAAATTCATAACAGTGAAACGGTTAAAGTAAAAGAAAATCCTGCAACAAATTCCTGTGACAGGGCATAAATGTTTCCCAATAGAGTTCCTGGTTTTAGTTCAGCAATTTTCCGACAGATGGTGATACCAGTCTACTCTACCGTTATTCCAGTTTTGATATGCAAATCATCAAAATGCTCATACGCAGAAGGGTAAAGGAGTCTTATGTCTGACTGGACGTAGAGTAGAGAGCTGAACAGCAGATTCTGAGGGAAAGTATTGAAAATGACGTATTCGTTGGAGGAAATGATTTTCCTTGTATTGGATTTCCTATGTCTGGGGGGGGGAAGTGTTACAGCATAAGAAGCTTTCAGTGCTGATTTTAAGGCGCTGATGGTACGCAGCCGAATACAATAAAAACACTGTATGAGAAATTCAAACGAATAAAGGTAATGTTGCGGATGGGAAAGTCACAAATGCTGGACAACAGTGATCGGTTATTACAGAAACAGTTGTAAAGGAAACAATTGCACCCTCCCCTATAAACTTAATCCGAAAAATGATACGCTTCCCTAGAAATTTAGTTCGAAAAACTGCAGTTTACTTTTGACTGTAAGCTTTTCTCTCATAATATCTCCTAAATATATAACCTCAAAGCAACAAAATAATTGTCTTCCATAAATGAAAATATCCTTTATTTGACTCCTTGTTTGTGCCTATAAAAATCTATCAGTGTATTCTTTATGGCGTTTACAGATGTCTTCATTCTGTAATATCTTAGTTAAATTGGTAGGCCTTGAGGGCTAGAATGTTGAAGAACTGTATAGCCATTTATCGTAGTTTCTGTAAGCAAATGACAAGTCCCTTGGACTACTTATCTGTTTATTCCAACTCAAAATAGTTGAACAGATGGCCCTTTTCTCAAAATAATTGAACAATAAGCCCCCACTTGGGTTTTAACTCAAAATAGAAAATAAGAAGTAATCTGATACTAAATAAAATAAAATCAGCTGAAGCTGCACAAAACTAACTAAAAGAGTTGGCTGTTTCTTAAGATCACCGGCGAATACTAACAGGTATATAACAATACGGCCGAATAGCAGTAAGATTAGATTAGCAGCAACAACTTGCTCAGAAGGCAGACACGCGCTTCTAAGCTTTTCTAGTGAACTGACCTTCACTTCAGTTTAAGTACTTGTTTCTACCTTATTTACGTAAAACGTAATCCTAAAAACTATTTCTGGTAGGGAGAAGTAGGTGGGAATTGAGAAAGTAAAGGAAGGGTTTGTTCCAGCATAAAACTGTTAGAAAATTAAAATAAACCCTGCAATTCCTTTGCAATTGTGTCCAAAACCAACAGAATGGTATTTTTAAGCATTATAAATGCTAAGACTTTAGAATATTATGCGTAACTAAATTCAGTTTAATTTTATTGACCCTGGATATTAAAATAATCAAATATCATATATCTTAATTGAATTCTAGTACCTATTTTTACTAATTTAAACAAAAACTATTATTACAAATCATGCAGCTATTTAAATAAAGAGGGCAATAAAAAGTGCAAGAAATAAAAGATGTTAATTTATTATTTAGATATTATAATAGTTTTTGTCAAATAAAAAAGTTAAAAGTAAGATTGTTTAAGAGTTTACATATTTTCATTTGGCTTTAAATTTTACATAATAAATAAAATTTAGATGTTTGCAGTATTTAGTTAGTTCATGCAAAAATTTAATCTCTGATGTTTTCTATTTATTCTTTTTAAAACGAATTTTTTTAAAAAAATAAGGTAAGTTAAGCTCTTTATTCCACATTAGGTGTTTATAATAAATCAAAAGCAACCTAAAAATTCAATTCACTTTGAAAGAAAGTAAATTGATAACTCTTTGCCAGTTGTTTCGAAATTATTAAGTTCCTGATAGAGAGTCCTTATTTTTTTATATCCCGTTTCAATTCTCTTAAGCTTTCTTACTCAGAGAAATTTTATCATTTTTAAGAGAGAATTATATGCCTATATTAGGTGAGATATTGCAAATACAGCCTTCGTCATCGTCAAAATCAGAATTATTTGAGCTGGTTCCAAAGAATTTAATATTTCTTTTTAATATAAAATAAAACTTACGCATTTGAATTGTTTGCAAAACAAAAGCAAATAAAGTTATTCTTTTTATTTGTGTCAGGCATGTCATTTTGTAATAATTTTAATCTCTGTTATGCTTATTTACGAAAATCAATACTGAAATTCATTTTTACTAATTTATATTACATACTTTTTGAGTAGTTAAAAATTAGAAGATTTATTTTTTCATTCCCTTAATGGCTTGCTTTATTTAAAGAAAGTAGTTTATTTTTATTCAAAACAGCTAACAATTTTCTTTTTCTTGAACAGTTCCTAAGGATTTTGAAGAATCTCATGAAGTTCGTTTATGGAGTCTTCCAGAAAAACCTCTTGAGAAATTCATCTTCTTTTTAATGTGGATACCGAATTTTCTATTCTTCATCACTATTCCACGATGTGACTTACCACGGCGTACCAAGTTATTTCCGTTAACTTTCTTTACTTCCATCGTATGGCTTGGAGTCCTTTCATATATGTGTTTCTGGATGGTTTCTGTTATCGGTAAGTATAAGTAAGCCTCACATATACAGAGGCTGTTCCCACATTTTTAGACGATGTATATTGTATTCACAAAACTAAATTACATAAAATTCTTGTGTTTTAAATGTTCTATTTGACATCCCTTATTCTGAACTATCTTTAGACACCGCAATTTCCAGGATAATAATGCCTTTTGAAGTGGCAGAAGAGATATTCTATCCCATTCCTCCCGAACTGCTTTCCAGAGTCCTGTTAGGGTTTTGGGACAACGTTTGGATAATGCAGTTTTTTAAAAAGTCCGAAAGCACAAAAATCCCATAGGTGACACTCGGAGATTTAGTAGGGATATGAGTGAAAGGTATGGCCTTGATACCAGTTTTTTTGTTCCATTTCTTTTAGGAAATTTGCAGTGGATTTTGATGTGTGACTGCTAGCTTTGTCCTGATGGAGTCTCCCAGATTGATGGCACTGTGGGTAAAGCGATGGTATTTCATTCAGAAAAATTTGCGATAAAATATGTTCCTGATAGTATTTGGAGTTAATCTTGACATTTTTTTGCACTCTCTTTATTTTTAACTTGCCATTATAAGAAAAAACAGCAACAATCATGAATCCCGTAGAAAAACTTTTCTTCGATTCTTTGAACCATGTACTTAAATTTTTTCTCCCCTTTTATGATAATAAATGGCTCTTTTTTTGTTGCAATCATTTAAATACACCCATGCTTCATTTATTGTGACAATTGTTTTCCATTTTTCTTTGGATAAGTGTTTCTCATATAGAATTCTGCAGCGTGTCCTGCGTTGAGCGATATGCTTCGGAAGAAGACCATGCACATTGCGTTTTTCTTCGCTTTCTTAAGATTTAAATCAACGTTTATCATTTTGTTTACAGTGGACACCGAGCATTTTAATGATTTTGCAACTGTCCTTTGACTACGGGGATTTTCTTTTAACATTAAACAACGTACCTTTGCAATAGTCGGAGATAAATATACTATACTTAAATGACTTACTTGATATTCTTATTTAATGAATATACTTAAATTTAATAAAGAACTACTATACTTAAATGACTTACTTATAGTATGGCATAATTATATATTACAATACTTCGTAGTAATACTGTTTCTTTAACGCTATTTTTTCGATTATATGCGCAAGGTCTGAGCACCAACCTGTATCATGAACGTAATAATCGATTAATATGAATGATATACGCTATAGCACTTAGGACGTTATAACCGAATCCATGTATCCAAATATAACGATAATCCGTGCATCCAAATATTGCACCGATGGAGCCACTGAAGACTGGAAAAACACAATATAATTTTAATCACCAGAAAGTCATAGAACACTATTTAACTGTATAGACGATGTTAGCACGTTGCAAGCAAATATTCACAAACAAAATAAGCAGAAATTTGGCATTACCAAGAAGATTTCTCCTCAATTCAAAATAAACTGTCATCATTATATTTTTGTACGTCGTTCTCTTTCTGTATTGGAGCTCCCAATATTTAATTCCGACGGTGAATTACAAAACCGTGAAGAAAATATTTCTGAAAATAAAATGGAGTTTGAAATTATTGCGCCGTTAACTGACTTGTTCGAATTTGGCAGCTAGACAAAGCGCGCAAGCCTCGACCTCAGATGTTTTATATAATCATCCAGTAAATAATATGTACATGGAATGTCAGTCTCTCAAACAGCAGTTCAGTCTAAACTTTTCAGCGGTTTATACAATGGCATTAAACCTTTCGAAGGTTCTTCTGTTAATTTAATAGAATCTTTTTTAAATGACATAGAAGAATTAGGTACTATTCGATTTTGAGGGCCGTGAAAAATCGCCAAACTATTGTTGACGCCAATGCTGCCAAAAGTAATTGTGGCAAACCTAACGCAAGAAAGGAAGTATAATAAATAGTAAATAACTATCTAAGATGGATGTTTTAATTTAGATGAAAGGTTAATTTCATATAATACTTTTTTTATTATTATAATTTATATAAAAAAGGCTAAACATGACTGAAAAGAAGCATCATTATTATAATTTATATAAAAATTGCTAAACATAATTGAATGGATGCCTGCATCGCAATTTCGCTACCGAGTTATCGCTAAAGCATACTTTCATCTCGTTGATTGCTCAAACATAATTTTCTATAATGTGTGTGATTATGGTAAAGCCTCGAGGGCTATCTGCCTAAGGGAAGGGATGCCTTCGTGGAGTACTTTCTAAGGGAAACTGGCTCGTATACACGTTACACATGGGGAAAACCACGAAAACACCCATGCAGCCAACCCATTCGCGGGATTCGAACCTCGAACTGAACTACCACTGTTCAGCGACTTTACCGCTCGGCCACTAGTGGGCCAATTTTCTATAATAAATGATGCCTTTTCTTTGAAAAAATTCTCTGTAAAGTGCAGAATCGCCCACTTATTTGTTTGCCGCTTTTTACAAGGGTAAGAACAATTGGATTTTTGTTCAATTTTCTTTTACTTTTTAAGTGAAAATAGGTCGATGTGTACATAGATAAAGTCAAGGGTGTGCGCAGTGCCATTTTTGTGCAATTCTAGGATTTTTTTAAAGTGAAAATAGGTCGATGTGCACATGGATACCGAGTATGTGCAATTCTTAAAAACGCGTCAAGCAGTGGGTGATTCTGCACTTTAACCAAAATTCTATTGCACACTTTTCGTCATGGGCAATTTCCAAATTGTTAAATCCATAGGATATCAAAAAAGAATTTAAAAATTAAACTAGTATTTCAATGGCGTCTTAAGAAATATAGAACTATATATAAACTTACGCAATCTGAAATCAGCGCGTACGCTAGATTTGGCGCGCTGTTATGGGCGCGTTTGCTAAATTTGGCGCTTTTGCGCATACATTTTCGCTGCAATTTTTTACGGTCCTCAAAACGAAACAGTACCAAGAACTATTTCAACTGAATAGAATTACGAACAATGTTCACAAGATTATATTTACAAAAAAAAAAAAAAAAAAAATATTTATCGGGTTCGCTAAAACATTTGTAATGTCAATATTGCCAAATCCCGAGTGTACCGTATACTAGGATTAAACCAAGTATTTTTAAATGCATGGAAATGGACAAAAACGTAACAAACAGTTCATCAGAACTTTTATAGGTAATATATTTCGTATTTTTGCTCACAATTTCTCTAATTTTGATGTCAACATTTATTAGTAATTTATCAAGCCATTAATTTTGTCGTTTTCCATTAAAAGTGTTAATATTTCTTTCTCCATTTCCATTAATTTTCCGTCGATATTTTTGGACGGCCGTTAAATATGCATGGATATGCAACGTCTTTTAACATTTGACGTTTTCTCGGAATTCTTAAAATCGCCCCGTTTATAATCGTGAATACATTTTCACGCATAATCATATCTTAACGAAAATTGTACTTTTTGCTCTGAATGCTGTAAAAGTGTTTCATATTATGTCAGCATATTAATTCAAATAAATTCGTCCTTACTTCAAAAATAATAAATAAAGTCATATTTCAGCACTAAAATAATTGCTAACATGTGATTTGCGTTGATTGCGGAAATATGATTTTTTAAAATATATAAAAGGCATAACTTGATAACTTAATTTATAGATTAGTTTCATTTTTAAATATTTTGCTATAATATTTATAAAAAATATTTTAATTATTTTAAAAAAATTTTAACAATAATTTAGCACGTATTTTTTTAGTACTAATTAAAATTTAATAATTCAAGTATTTAATATTAAATTTATATTTCATTAGATAATCTACCTTAGATTAATATATTTAGATAAATAAAGTAATGAAACATTGCAAATAAATCTTATGCAGACTTAAGATTCTTGAAAGAGCAAATTTAGTCTCTTCTCATTCTAAAAGTAACGCTGATGAACTATGAAAAAGATGCTAAAACGACCACGTCTGATAGCGGTCATATCATGACGTTTCAGAGACTTCGACAAATTGCCAAGATGCAAAGGCAAATATTTTGCGTCTTCGCAATGTTGTAAAGACGTCGTAAAAGTTACCACAACCACTTTGCAACCTCTCGGACCAGTTTGCAACGTCGTTACGACGTTGCCGTGCTACTTGGAAAAGTATAAAATTCTACACGAAACGAATATATAGTTTTAGATTGCAGCATTTGTTGCTGTAAACTTTTAGAAAAAAGTAATGACATTCATCAAACACATTTAAAGATCTATCGGTACTATTCGGTTTCGAGGGCCGTAAAAAATCGCCAAAATATTGTTGATGCCACCAATAATTGCGGCAACCCTAATAATTGCGGCAAGAAAGGAAGTATAATAGTAAATAACTATTTAAGACTGATGTTTTAATTTAGATGAAAGGTTAATTTCATATGATACTTTTTTTATTATTATAATTTATGTAAAAATTCCTAAACATAACTGAATGGATGAGTGCATCGCTATTTCGCTACCGACTTATCGCTAAAGCATAATTTCCTCTCGTTGGTTGTTCAAACGTAATTTTCTATAATGAATGATGCCTTTTCTTTGAAAAAGTTCTCGGCAAAGTGAAGAATCGCCCACTTATTTGTTTGCTGCTTTTTACAAGGGTAAGAACAATTGGATTTTTGTCAATTTTCTTTTACTTTTTAAGTGAAAATAGGTCGATGTGTACATGGATACCGAGTATGTGCAATTCTTAAAAACGCGTCAAGCAGTGGGTGATTCTGCACTTTAACCAAAATTCTAGTGCACACTTTTCGTCATGGGCAATTCCCAAATTGTTAAATCCATAGGATATCAAAAAAGAATTTAAAATCAAAACAGGATTTAAAAATTAAACTAGTATTTCAATGGCGTCTTAAGAAATATAGAACTATATATAAACTTACGCAATCTGAAATCAGCGCGTACGCTAGATTTGGCGTGCTGTTATGGGCTGCTAGATTTGGCGCTTTTGCGCATACATTTTCGCTGCAATTTTTTAAGGCTCTCGAAACCGAATAGTACCGAAAAATCTCTTGAAATTGCATAAACACATCGCAATTGTAAAATGTATAAAGTAAAATGTATAAAGTAAACATAAGTATTCAGAGCACTAAGTTAAAGGGCATGCGGCTGGAATCTAGATTAAACATGGCTTATAATTTAAAATAATTAATTGAAAATGTCGGATTAGTAGATACATGGCGCGCGGCCAATAATCTCTGTCTAGTCAATGAAAATGCTTTCGTTTTTCGCATTTATGTTTCATACGCAAATGAAATTTTCAACAACGGATATTTCTATTTAGGTTACACGCTTGGAATTCCAGATACAGTTTCTGGTTTGACAATTCTTGCAGCAGGCACTAGTGTCCCAGAATTAGTGTCAAGCGTCATAGTCGTCCGAAATGGTAAGTATATTTACACATTTTTTAAACTAAAATTCTAAATGCGACAAAGCACTTGCGTTATATAACTTTTTATCAGAGTACGCCAGGAATATATAAAAAAATTAAGGTTTAAATAACACTTTCCTCTAAATAGTGGAGAAGAATAATGATTATAATCTTTTGTACTCGGGACTGACCCGCTATCCAACTTGTTGGAAAAAAGGTACATTAAGAATTACGAAATTATAAGAGAAAAATTATCACAAAATATAAATCGGTACTTATCGGTTTCACAAGCAAGAGAGCACCAAGCATAAAAGTGTTGTCGGGTTTAAGTGCTCTTCCTCCTAGTAAAAAAAAGAGCTTTCAAATAATGGTATTTTAAAGGAAATGTTAAAAAAAATAATAATAATTAAAAAAGGAAGGGACAAAAATCTGAAAATTTTCAAATTTTACATTACGGTAAATGTTACCTTTACTTATTAAATATCATGTCTTCGTACTTAAACCATAAAATTCAATTCAACAGGAATATCGCAAAATAATTTAAAAAGGAGCATACCTTTATAATTTCCGATTACACACTCTCGCGCGCTGGAGAATTTTTTTTTTTTTTTTTTTTTTTTTTTTTTTCTATTTTCCGTACAGTGTTGCCATATCTCGCTTTGTAATCGTTGAGTTTGTTAATCAAAAATTCGTTAAAGTGTTATAAAATATGAAATCGATAATAAAACAAATTCCAAATTAGGGCTCGCAGACATTCATATTCGGTGGAGGATTACGTTATTCAAAATTTGATGGCTCTAGGTACCGTTTGCTTTATCACAATGCGAGAAACATACATACATTTCTGCAGATTCTTCATTATTTAATTTCTTTAAATATAATGCAAGGATCTTACATTTTGTGGCAACAATCTGAAAAGTAATACGCCGTTTATAGCGATTCAACGCAAAGTGCCAAAACGAAATTAATAACCCTTCTGGTCTAACGACCTTTGGGCTAACAATAATCTGAAAGCTTTCAAATTTTATATTTTGTTTAAATATAAAATTTAAACACACAAAACGTTAAAAAAACTACCCAAACAGGTAGTTTTTTTAACGTTTTGTGTGTTACCTTTATCTAGTCAATATCATATTCTTTGCAATTAAGCCGCATAAAATTCAATTCAACTGCAAAATCACAAAATATTTAAAAACAGCAAAACTGCATATCCTTAGAATTTCCGGTACACAGACTCGCGAGCTCGAGATAAAAATGATTTTTTCTTGCCATTGTTTGCTTTGAAATCAGTGAGTTTATTAGTTTTGGTTAAAGTTTTACAAAATATGAAATAGATAACAAGACAAATTCAAAATTCAGATTTCCAGGTGTAGTATTCGAGTATATTCGAGTGTAGGATTACTACGTTATTCAAAATTTGATGTCTCTAGGTACCGTTGTTTTTTCACATCGCGTGAAACATACATACAGTCATGCAGATTCTTCGTTATTTAATTTCTTTAAATATAAAGCAAGGCTCTAATATTTGGTGGCAACAATTTGAAAAGTGAAACACAATTTATAGTGAATCAACTCAAAACGCCACAACAAAATTAATAGTCCTTCTGGAAAAACAGCTTCTTTGGGCTTTTAAAAAAAAGAAAAAAAAAAAAAAAAAAGAAAAAAAAATCGTAAAAAAGTTATTACTTATCCATAACTTAGTAATGTTACAAAGAGCATTACTTCATAAATGTTAAAACGGTAATTATTATTAAAAAAAAGGGGGGGAAAGAAAAAAAGAAAAGAAAAAAAAAGAAAAAAAGAAAAAACACTGAAAGGTTTCGGTTTTTAAATCACGTCCGAAGGGGCGTTTTTTTAACATTTTGTGTGTTACCTTTATTTATTAAATATCATGTTCTCCGCACTTAAACCATAAAATTCAGTTCAAGAGCAATATCGCAAAATAATTTTTAATAATTTCCGATACACAGTCTCACGCTCTGGAGATAAAAATATTTTTTTCTGTACAGCGTTGCCATTGCTCATTTTGAAATCCTTGAGTTTCTTAATCGAAAATTCATCAATGCTTTACAAAACATGAAATAGATAATATAACAAATTGCAAATTTGGGCTTCCAAACGCCCATATTCGGGTGGAAACATGCGTTATTCATAATTTGATGGCTCTAGGTACCGTTCACAAATAAACAAAACTTGCGGCTCTCTTTGATACCAGCAACAGTAGTAGCCGCTAATCCTGTAGCGCTATGGAGTTTTCAGACTCCTCTCGCCAAACTAATGGCGAATAACAATTCTCAAGTCGACAACGATCACCAAATTAAAAAAAAAAAAAAATCTGAAATGTTTCAGATTTTAAATTACGTCCAAAGGGGCGTTTTTTAACATTTTGTGTGTTACCTTTCTTTATTAAATATCATGTTCCTCGCACTTAAACCATAAGATCCAGTGCAACAGCAATATCGCAAAATAGTTTTAAAACGAGCATATCTTTAGAATTTCCGATACAGAGACTCACGCGCTGGAGATAAAAATTTTTTTTCTGCACAACGTTGCCATTGCTCGCTTTGAAATCCTTGAGTTTTGTTAATTCAAAAATTCGTCAAAGTTTTAAAAAATAGGAAATCGATCATAAAACAAATTTCAAATTTCAAATTTGGTCTTCCACATGCTCATATTCGTTGAGGATTACGTTATTCAAAATTCGATGACTCTATTACCGTTATTTATCACAATGTGAGAAATATACATACATTTACGCAGATCTTAATTATTTAATTTCTTCAAATATAATGCAGGACTCTAACATTTTATGGCAACAGTTTGAAAAGTGAACCGACATTTATCCGTCCGACGCAAAATGCCAAAATCAATATTCTTGCAAATAAAGCATCATTAACGTTTGGCGAAACAGCATAAATTTCTTTTCCAGATTTCATCACATGAATTCTGTCAGCCATCGTGGCCATATAGTCTCTAATCATGGTCTCATCATAGTCATGATCATAGTCTCTAAATTTTCTTTACTGAAGAGAAGAATATTTTTTATAAAATCGGGCATTTTATTTAACCATAAAGATTTTAGCACTTTTCCGGAAAATCGTCTGAGGCTAGGCTTTTCATTTGCTGCAAAAGTTGACTTGGTTTATTATCTCGGAGGTCTAATCCAGTAACCAGATGATGAATTTGTTTATTTTCAATTCCTTTGAACACATTTAAAAGTCTTTCTTTCGCCATAGAATATTTATTAGGCTTAATGCCCCATATATTTTCAAAATACTTCGATTCGAACTGGGATATCAATAATTGAATCTAGTCTCTTAGTCTCTTCAGTAGCGATTTTATTTGTTTGAAATTGGGTTTCCAGTTCAAAAAAACAAATGATGGGTTCTTCACGGAAAAAAAAAAAAAAAAAAAAAAAAAAAAAAAAAAAAAATGGTGGAAATTACTTTATTGTCTTCGGCATCTATTAACGTAATTGCTTCTGTTACGTTTTCCGTAGAAATGTTAAATAAGCAAGTCGAAAGCTGTCGGGTCACCAAATATAAATACATCTAGGCTAAATCACAGAATAGGCTGCATCAGTCGATGCTGTATTTACTTCTTTTATGCTTGGACACGCCTTTTTATGACGTAATATTGGTTACGCCTCTCCTTAAAAACAAGTTATAAGCAAGGAGGTTAGAATAGTTAGTTAACAGAATAGAAAACAAGTTATAGAATTTAATTAACAGAATAGAATTGAGATTAACAGAATAGAAAACAAGTTATAAGCAAGGAGGTTCTAACCTCCTTGGTTATAAGTATGCAATAGCTTCGTATTTAAAGAAAACTTAAATGAAGTTTTAACTGAGTTGAAATGGTAGGTTTATAATGTTCTGCGCGAGATTTTTTAATTATAAATCTACTTTTGTATGGTGTTGTGGTAGTGTTAGCATTAACGCAACTTTATCTCTGACAAATGTATTATTAAAGATACCAACGATTGAAACGATCATTACCAACGATTGAAAATGAATGCATGAGTTAAAAATTATAAACCGTAACTTCTGAAAATCAGAAAAGAATTCTTTTGCTTAAAGAATGTTTTGATATTGATGAGTGTGTCGAAATCGGTGCTACTGCAGAATGGATGATTTCTGAATCTGGATTTTTTTAATCAGTTGGAACGAAAGGCAAAAGAGCGTTTTGAGTGTGTATGGAGAAAAGTTGATTGCATATCGTTAAGTGACCAATTTGTGGAACAATATAAACTAGTAGAGGACGGTTTTGAGACGTATAGACGATTTTGAGTGTGCGCAATGCCGGTTTGTGCAACTCTGAGTGTTTTTTTTTTAAGTGAAAATAATCGATGTGCACATGTCAAGTCATATGTTGCGCAATGCCGATTTGAGCATTCTCTGATTTTCTTCAAGTGAAAATAGATGGATAGCAGCATGGACACCGAGTTTGGAATTCTTGATGTTTTTCGAGCGAATACTGATCGTTGTTTAGAGAGAAAAACGAGTTGTGTGTGATGCCGAGCAGTAATGTAACTTTATTTATGTGCAATGTTTAACATATCGTTAGTGTATTTTAAATTTGTATTATTGTTTTAATTGTGAATTATATTTAAGACGTCATTTTTCATTTAAGTTGTATTTTTATTTTTTTTTTGGCTTTGATAGTTTTATAACGCTTTCCGACTTAAGACATATATCGATAGCCCAACGGTATATCGATATATCGATCAACTCAACAGTAGCAAAATTGTTAACTTTAACTCTTGAAGTAACGTTTACCTCATATTTTAATACGTAGTGTTTGGTATCGTAATTGCACTTGATAATATGAATTCATTGATAAATGTGTGGGTGTGCGTATGTGAAGCATTGCTTAGTGTTCCAGTTTGTAGATTTATTTTATTATATTATTTTTTTCATTCTGAGAAATTAGATTTTTTATTTATTAATGCTAGAATTCTAGCATGCCTACCAGAATATGGCGTTGATTGAGGAATTTTTAAAACTGATAAAGCTGTTTAATGATGTTCATATGCATAAAAAATATTCTTCTTTTATTAATGTAAGTTTTAAAATTTTTAGAAATAATAAAATTGTCTAATTATGGTAGTAAGGATTATGTCGTTACGTAGCAAGAAGGTAATTTGTTAAAAATGATAAATTGAAATGTTCCACAATATGAATTTAAATTTAAAAAAATTATTTTATTTTTATAATAAAAAATTAATAATAATATAATAATAATTAATAAAAATCTTTGAAAATATTGAAGCTCTACAATGTTAGAGACTGCGACTTTTGTTTATCGTTTTAATAATTGGTAGAATTCGCTCTTGTATCATGGTACTTTTAAATATAACAATTATTATACTTATTATGTACGCCTAAGCTTAATGTTATGAAGGTAAATTAAAAGTAAAGAATTTGATATTAATTTACAATAATAAACAATTTATTATTGTTATTTTTAAGAGAAAATAGAAAGTACACACGTAGTAAATGCGAGACCTACATTGTGAGGTCATAAGCTTAGTCCCACCCATTTATGGACGTCACACAGCTCCTCCTACTGAACTTTGTTGATGCAGCCTATTCTGCGCTTTTACCTACATCTATTATGAATCCTCAGTTCATACAACGTAATAAGGTGTAGACAAAATCTTACTATTCCTAGGATGTTTCATTGAACTATAAAAATAAAAAGATTACCATATCAACATCAAATATTTTTGTTATTCACCAACTCAGTAGTCAACAACTCATCTTCTATTATTTTAACAAACTTGCATTCCAAAGATAAAAACTGTTGCCAAAAACGATAATAGAATAATATGCAAAGTAAACATTTATAATTTTCTTCTTTATATATGCTAAAGTGTGTGTCGCCGATAGTTTATTGTTGCCACTCGGAAAAATAAGCGCGGAAATTAACGTTTCCGCAGTTTTTAATTAATATCTCGGCCGATTAAAGTCGTACGAAGATGAGAACGGTAACGATGGATTCGGAGAATTTTTTTGAAATCCGAGGATACGCGTCTCGAATTTCAACTCGGCGCCGTTCCGTAGATATTCCAGAAAAAAGAATTTGGCAGGTAGCCAAATTCCTGTATTAGAGAAAACCCAAGAAAGAAAGTGGAAAATGTATGGAAAAAGTAGGGGAAAATTAGTTTTAAATTAATATCTCGGCTAATTGAAGTCCCAAGAAGACGCGAATGATCAAAATGGCGTGCCACGGACCTGTGGAATCCAACTGTGAGCTTCGCTAAGCCCGGGAGCCAGCCGTTTCGGAGGAGATGATGTTACTTCACCCCATATATATATGTGGCTTAAGTGTCTGTTTGTCGCCGATAGTTTATTGGTTGCTTGCGTAACTGTACTAGCTAATGGGCTGAAGTTGCCACGGCACAGGATTGCCGTTTCAATTGAGACGTAGACAATTTCCTGTAAAACTCGCCTTTGCTGTGACCATTCATAAGTCTCAGGGCCAAACGCTTAAGCATGTTGGCATATTTTTATCTGAGCCTGGATTTGGACACGGTCAACTTTATATGTTGCCTGTTTAAGAGTTCGTGAAAGAACGGACGTGGAATTAAAATAATGGATGGTCCTCTGCAAGGCGAGCTGAAAAATGGTGGAAAGTTCTACGCAAGAAATGTTGTGTAGAAAGAAATCTTTGACATGTGAATTAACATTTCCTTATTTAAATCACTTTCATTGATTGAGCTAGCGGTGGCTCTTAAGAAATGTACCGCCAGTGGTTTCCTTCATTGCACTGTACTTTAAGAAATTAAGTTTCATCGTTGTTGGTTTTTGCCGGTTGCATATTTCCGAATTCTATTATATATAGATGCTAAATTTATTTATTAAATATTAAATGCACGCGCTCTTGTATTTTTAATTTTTCCGGCTTAGCTTTCTCATAATATTCGTCACGCGCTGCACTGCAGGACGAATAAAACAATTTACAGTTACGCAAGCAACCAATAACCTATCGGCGACAAACACCTAAGCCGCATATATATAAGATGTGATGAAATGAATTTTTTTTTTCCCTCTGCTCCTTGATAATAAAAAATGAAAAATTCTTGTTACATGTACATAGTTCTATATATTTTGCCTTAATACATTTTACATATTTTTATGAAATAAACTAAACTAATTCTCCTAAACCTTTTTTTACAGGTTTAGGCAATATGGCCTTTTGCAATCTTCTTGGAAGTAACATCTTTGACATACTATTCTGCTTAGGTGTACCATGGCTAACAAAAACTCTTATGAATAGCGAAACCCGGTCACTCATCATCAATAGTTCAGCACTCACGTATACAACACTCATTCTATTAACAGTTGTCATTCTGTTCTACCTGACACTCGTAATTTGCAGTTGGAAATTGAACTGGCGTTACGGCATTGTTGCTTTTGTTCTTTATATATCTTTCCTGATAATCGCATCCTTGTACGAAAGCAATGTATTCGGGGACTTTAATCCTCCCACTTGCGCTAGCTGACAAATGTGATATAAGCTAAAATTTTATGCAAGCATTTAATGATGTATTTTAACAATGCTGTTAGAGATATGTGTATTAGATACTGACATATGTATTGTGTGTTTTTAAGTCTACTCTTTTAAGATTATGAAATAAAGGATTGTTGATTAATGCAAGAAATGCAGTTTATCAATGCAGATATATAATCATTCTTGGCAAAAATTACAAGAGCTGAACACTCTCATAATAAATTGCTACACCAGTCGTATTGCCAATTTTAAATTACCTAATAATACATGCTAACAAGATTTTTAAATATCGCTAAATTCTAAGAAACGTTTTTTTAATAGACACACATATCCATACATATATTTCAGTGACAGATGAATTATGAAATTTATTACTGTAAATCTAACCTTAATGTGTAACTGTTAAGCTGTTTTACACAAATTCAATTCAATAAAATTAATGCTATTAAAAAGCTATGCTGAATTAAATGTGTAAATTAAATTGAATTAAATTAAATTTTTTAAAAGCAGGGATAAATGTTAGAAACTCAATATAGCAGAGAGTGGTTACTTGCATGTATGAGAATAAATAATACACAACATACTTGTTGGGAGTTTGGAACACAAGCGAAGTTTTATTGGATTGCACAGTTATAGCATATAAAAAAACTGTGCGCCATCTATGGTCTAAGAACATATTTAAAGCTAACCTTTATTACACTCCTACCTTAGGTTTAAATATCATCATCCTAATTAAATACAATGAGAAATTACGTCAGCACACATACATATAATAAAACATTAAATTCCATTAGCCTTCATTTTAAACCCATTATCTTTGCACACATTTCATGTTTTGCACTGTTTACACTTTTTGTCAAAAAGTCTGCAATCATATCATTAGTAGTCTTATATTGCATGTCAATGAGCTGAAGTTTCACAGCTTCTCGCACGAAATGATGTTGTATACCAATATGCTTTGATCTACCCTGATACACACTATTTTTGCTGAGATTAATAGCACTGTTGTTATTGCAGTATAATAATACTGGCTTTCCAGTAATAATCCCAAATTCTTTAACAATTTTGTTGAGCCATATGGCTTCTTTAGTAGCTGCAGAAAGAGCCATATATTCGGCTTTTGTTGTACTAGTTGCAATAGTAGGTTGACGTATACTACACCATGATACTGCGCCACCTCCGATGAGGAAAACATATCCAGTGGTTGATCGGCAATCCCCAGCATCACCTCCATAGTATGAGTCTCTGTAACCAAGGACGTCAGCGCTATAGTCCTTTGAAAATGACAATGTAGCATCTGTAAAAGCTCGAAGATATCGCATGATGCGCTAGACAACATTCCAGTGAACCATTGCCGGATTATTGGAGAACTAGCTAAGGAAATTCACAGCATAAGTTATATCTGGTCGTGTTGTTGACCTGCATAAAGAAAACTCCCAATGGCAGCCTGATAAAGAATAGGTAGCTTTTGTTCCTTACTAGTTGGTATCTGCAGTTTACATAGCACTTGATTTTGGTCTAGTGGTGATGCTTTTACACCATGAGATTCATGCATATTATATTGCGAAGCATACTCTCTACATACTGAGCTTGACTAAGGCTAATGGACCCTTTAGTTCTTTCTCGTTTAATTTTAATTCCTAAGCAATAATCTGCTGGTCCCAAGTCTTTCATTTCAAATTTTTCTTTAAGTTGTTGTTTTACCTAATTTTCAAGTTCTACATTATTACTAAAAATGAGTAAGTCATCAACATAAATAGTGATAATAACTAGTTCTTTATTTTTATTTATTTTAATATAGACACAACTATCAAAAGTACTTTGCCTCAGTCCCATTTCTATTAATCCCTTTTCTAACAGTTGGTACCATAGTCTACCACTCTGCTTTAAACCATCTATTAATGCTTTGTTTAATTTCAGAACCTTTCCCTTTAAGTTTTGCTTGTAAAATTAACTGAAACCGTCTGGAATTTTCATATAAATGTCTTCATTTAGAGTTCCCAGTACAAAAGCCATTACAGTATCCATTTGGCCAATTTCCCAATCATATTGTTGCGTGCGTACGGGTTCGTTATGAAATGAATGCACAAGTCCGATGAAAAATGAACAAAAATTTATTATTATCACAACAAAAATGCTTAAATTTTCTCAAATTATCATGCAGTATTACAATATCTCACAGTAGTTATCTTTTTAACTCCTCAATATCCAATAGAACGTAATTCAAAACAGCTAAAGAACGCTAATCTGCGAATTCGCTACAATCAAACAGAGCAGTTTTCTAAACAACAACAAACTAAAGCAAGCAACTACAACTGAGATGTTTTCCTCCTTTATAAGATTTTAAATCACGCGCTAGAATTTTCCAGTACTTTCTCGAAATCAAAAAGAGATATTTATTTATTTATGCACGCGCTCTTGTATTTTTCAATTTTCCGGCTTAGCTTTCTTTTAATATTCGTCACGCGCTGCACTGCGCGAGAAATAAAACCATTTAATTTATAATTAAACTAACATTAGCTTTTTAAATACCAAATTCGTAACACTGCCCCCCTTCCCAAGGACTGCACGTCCCGGGCAGTACAATCCTGGACAGGAAGCTAACTTACAACTGTGGCATAAACATTACATTACAATATCAAACAACATGAACAATAAATGCAAATACTAACTTAAACAAATCAAATGCTATCAAATACTAAATACAAACAAATACTAAATCAAATCAAATACAAATAATAATACAAATCAATCAAATCAAATACACATTTAAAAACAAAATGGACCATGGTCTTATACTATTTACAATTATTTACATTATGTACTATGGCCATAGTAATAAGCTAACTGTCGTAAGAGTTCGAAGACTCACGGATCCCAACCACGACGTCATTCGTGTTTCAGCACTGTATATGGACCATCCAAGGTGACTAATTTAGGACTCAGTCCTTTTCGTTGAATCGGGTTCCACAACCACACCTTGTCTCCTTTGTTGGATCTATGTCTAGTAGCTCTTGTGTCGCATCTGGTCTTCATTTTCTCCGTGGCCAAGTTGACTCGCTTTCGTGCAGAACGGTGCATCCCCTCAAACCGGGCCTGGGCATCTTGGATGTGTTCCTCAGGCGATGAAGGCGCATCCGTAGGGCGAATAAACAGGCGGTCACAAGGCAGACGAAGGTCTCGGCCGAAGAGCTTCTGGGATGGAGAATACCTGGTAGTCTTGCATTTCTTTTCGACCCTGGTATAATTTCGGCAGCTTCCTGAGCTCGATCTTTGGACAAGGCGTCGACATTTCCAAGTGAGGATCTCTTCTGAGGATGGATAGTCATGTCACCAGATGCTGAAAGCAGTTTTGTTGTTTTTGAAGTCTAAGGAAAATTGTATTTCCTTAAAAAGTCCAATCCGAGTATGCATGGATCTGTGTATATCCGCCACATAAGCCGTGTGATGGTAGGCGGCACTTCCAAACGTGATGTTTACGTTTAACTTCCCAGTTATGTCGATCTTATCACCAGACGCAGTCTGAAGGGTAACACAGGATGGCGTCCAAAAAGTTTATCTTTAAACTGTTCAGCTAAATCTTTCCTAATGATGGTAACATTAGCTCCTGTGTCAATGATCATATCGCAAGGAACTCCATCGATATTCCCATTAATGGACATTCCGTTACTGTTGCCACTCACTGTATAAATTTTAAGCGCTTTAAAACAAGGTTTTTCATTATCTGACAACCTCCGTTTCCTCGATATGGTCATTAATTTGTTTTTTACTGCTGTCGTTGTTGGGAAATGGTCTATATTTTCCGTACCTCGGGATGTTCTGCATTTCTTCGTATGTGGCCTTCAACTCCGCAGTTCCAGCATTTTAATTAGTTTCTTTTCACTTATGTTCCGTCTCAAGCCACTGACTTGTCTGGTAAAATCATCTGCTTTATATTCCGTACCCTGGGGTGTTCTGCAATTCGTCTTAGGTGACCTTCACTATCCACATCTCCAACACCTTAGAGCCACTTCTTCTCCCTCCTACTCCGTATCAAAGCGTCGACTTGTCTGGCTAAATTATCTAAACGAGCCATCAGTTGATCCACTGGCTCATGGACTCGCACAGCTCTAACTGGGTAGCGATCTCTATTAGTTGCTTGCTGGGCTGCCTCGAACTTCATGGCGTACAACAGAGCGCTTTTTATGTCCTTTACATCTGCCATTCGTAGAGCTTTCTGTATTTCGGGATCCCGGATTCCATCGATGAAATATTGCAGGGACAAGATTTCCCTCGTTTCTCTCGGGCACTCCGTAAAGGCGAGGTGGGACAAGCCTTTCAACATCCGTGGCGAGTTCCTGGAGTGATTTGGTGGGCTTCTGTTGACGGGATTTTAATTGAAGCCTGCTGTAGTCTTTTAAACATTTCTTCGCCAAAGCGCAGCTCCAATGCGCCGGATAGAGCTTCGAAGTCAGTCTTTGGTTTTCAGGAAGCGTCTGCAGGATATCCGCTGCGTCTGCTCTCAGCGAAGCGGCGAGATGACAGGCCTTAGTTTGGGAATCCCATCCATTCGCATCCGCCACTATAGAAAATTGTGTTTTATACACTTGCCAGGAGGTCTTTCCCATCATAAGTGGATAACTTCAGAGAGGGACGAGTAGCATGGGTAAAATTTAAAACCATCACTATTGTTCCCTGCCGTCGCTACAAATTTCTTTAAAATATCCACTTCTTTGGCTACTGCAGAAACCCTATCAATCAATTTTTTGTTCGATTTAGTTGTTGGACGGCACAACTCTTCCTTCTATATTTCTTTTACAGAAAAACTCTTTCTTCTATTTCTTCTTTCATCAGAAACTCTTTCTCTCTTCATTTGATCTTTTACAGAAGAAACTTTTTCTTCATTTGTCCAACTTTAGTTTCAACTTGTCAATTCTGCCTTCCATAGCTTCAAATTATTTCTATTATGCAGGTAATTTCTCTTTTCATTTCTTCTTGACCAGCTTGAACGGGCTTTCTTTCGTCCTTAACGGATTCCTGGCCCAATTTCATTTCTTCTTTAAATGAGGCAAAGGCTGATATTAACTGCCTTAATTGCTCTTTCCATCGCTCTTGTTATTGGCATTCAAATCCCACTTCTGACACCAAAATTGTTGCGTGCGTACGGG